TTAGTTTTTATAAATGTAAACAAATATTGCTAAATATAACTATAATAATCACCTCTTGCCTTCGTCTCTTCTCAAATGCAGTTCTAACATTTGTTGGTTGCTTCCTTTTAGATGGCTACACTTGTGGGTTCCACAGAGTATTAAAAAAATCGTGGATACAGCATCCTTCTTAAGGCGAAGCCGTCCTGCTGTCCATCCTACTGATTGCATCGCTTCAAAATTTTGCACGAAGCACGAACTCTCGAAATGTTGCGAGCACAATTTTGAGCTCTTTGTTGGCTTCAAATTTTTGCGTCGGATTTTTTCAATCCAAATATCTCGCATGCGCTTGTTTTCGGGAAACGAAAAAAGAAACCTTTTGCTGCGTTTGATGGTTCTTAGAAGAACCGTTTTTATAATTAAATGCGGCACAATAAACCATATTTTCAATGCTAAATTGTCGTGTTGTTAATGCAGGCAAAGTATATTTTGAACGTAGCGCGCAATTGACCGCGTTTAGCTTATGTCAACTATTACGTCACAACGACATCGGTAGCTGTCGTTAGCTCGTCGGGCATTTTTAATACGTTATCAGGAAAGCATCAACTTTAAACCTCCATATCTTCAAAAATATTTATCCTTTGAGTCTCAAACTTTGGTGAACTATTAGTTGGAGCTATACCTTTATGTAAAGTACAAAAATAACAATCCGAATTTTATGTTGCATGTGTCCTTTAATTACCTTTTAACTGCAGTTAGCGCTACTTTTTATAAAACCAATTCTTGTTATGTCGCCAGTTACCCCGTCACTTATGCTGTTCATGGCGCATTAATTAGTAAGATTGAATTGCATAAATTAAAGCTTCATATTTTAAGCAGCAACATGTATTTATGTGTATTATTGTGCTTTGTGTTTTACTCAGCTATTCCTATAGAACCAACTTATTACAGCTTCATTCTGAACCATGGAAATGAGCTCAGCCAAAACGAGCTGATTGAAAAATATTTTCATTTGGGACTTCAAGCAGCTGAAATACTTGGATTTATTGTTAAGGTCCATGGCTTTGCTTTAAAAGCATTAGACAGCTCAAAAGAGCCATATTGCGCACCATTCGGCTTAACTGTGGGTTTTGGCCAATCACTCCAATCACTGAGCTTTCGCCATATGGTGCATTATTCAGTTCTTGAAACTGTTGGGCCGTTGTTAAGAGACAGGAATGGACGTGCCTATCGCTGTAGAATATCACAATCAATAAACGAGTGAGTGTATCTACTTTTTAATCACACATGAGATGTTTAATACTTGCTTAATATCTTCATTTATTGTAGATACATGAGAGCTGTTGCATATCAATGACTAATTAAATGGTTAGGTGGGTCAATGAGGTGGGAAAACAGCAGACCTTTGCCTGGATGTGTTTATCATCACATAAGAAAAAAATATCCAACAAGCAACAACCAGGCTAATATGACTTCATCTGTGCCAGATGGGTCTAATAACAATGCTTCTGGCATTCTAAAACGGTTAAAGGCTGTTATATATCACAAACATCAACTACAAGTGTACGCCTGTAAATATAACACTTACTTACCTTCGTTTTTGATCTGCCATCTCGTCTTCAACTGGTTCCACGATTTCAGCCACATCGATAGAAGGAACTGCATCTTTATTTAGTCGTCGTTTTAATTTGACGGAAAGACTCAGAATTACATAAAAACACGATTCCTCAAAATGCGCAGAACAAAGACACGAGGTTGAGGTTTCTTTAAAACCCGGTGTATGTTTACGTACAAAGGTTACCCGCTTTCGTTGTCTTTGCATATCTGTTTTTATTTAGGAAAAAGATGCATAGATGTTCTTTTAGTTTTCGAGTTGTTAGCGCAACTAACCTGACTAGATCAGCCATCAACACAGCGTTTTCCTCCGCGTTTTTTATTAAGATTTCTAGTAGAACACGCCATGTCGATATATGTGTTCAACTATCTACGTCACAACCATTGAGTTCTATAAGACCTGGAGGGGAAAAGGGGCCTCGACCCGATTGTCAAAAACATGGCGGTAATGGCGGATTTTGGTGGTCAAAACCTCCACTTTAAAAATGTTTTTCAGTATTCACTCCCTCCTGATTTCTTATACGAACGATAACAAGTGAGAAAAAAACAATTACGATATCGACAGCATATCATGTGAAAATAATGCTTCAGAATTGCGTGAAAAACACAGTACACACACACATCAAAATAAAGAAAATCGACGGTAGAGAAACGCATATTTTGGCTGTAACATTTAAGTTATTTTACGACATCTTAAACTTTTAAAAGTGAAAAGCAAACGGCATTCTTTAGTAGACCTGTCAATCTCGTCAAACTTATACAGTATTTCATGCTTCTGTGTGTTTGACTGTTTGTAAACAGTTTAGTGCAACTATTTTTCTTGCTCAAATGGATAAATCTGTGTTAAAATGCTCCTAAGGAAGCGAGAAAATGTTTCCTTCAGTCCTACGACATAAGTAAACTGAAAATTTACCATGGATAAGTATCATAAGTGTATTGTCATTACCTGATAAATCTACTGAAAACTCAAAAAGAAAGTATGTTGAACTAGAAGAGCTACAAAAAAGAAAAGAATTCAAAGCACCATGATACTGTTTGTTGGAAATTCTTATTTTATAAACTGCTTGGCAGAACCTTGCATCTATTACTGAAAAGAACAACATTAATTTTCCATTGAAATTACAAACTTGGAAACTAAAGTGCATTAATTTCTGTGACAAGAACACTCTGTCTATTGCTGCATGAAGGCAAAATAGTTAATTGACATTGTAGGTGAAGAAATTTATCAAGTTCTATAGATATTATTGTGCATTACTTACATTTTTTTGGAATTGTGTAATGTATGTCAAGAACAAGATATAATTTTTCAAAAATGCTAACCCGTTAGAGCGCTACTACTCTTCTGTTTTTCTTGAACAACTTACAGCTACCAATACTAATTATTTATATGTACAAACTAACATTTGGGAATTAAATGATAAACAACTTGATAAATCTTTGTATTTTACATCAAGCCTTTGAATTTGCTCCTTTTATCTCTTGGTAAAAAAATATTAATGAAAGAATTACAAGTCAAGTTTCTCGAAAATAGTATTTTGTACTAAGAAACTAAATAATTGGAAAGTTCACATCTTGAAGAAAGACTTCGCTTCTTTGACTAGGTTGCTTGACCATGAGCAATTTTAATTTGTTTACAATTTGTTTAAAGAATTCTTTTTATTGTTTTCTACTAATTCTTTATAAGACACAAAGAATTTCTTTGCCATCTATTTTTGCTTCTTCTACATTCAACTTTATTGTAACCAATGCATCCGATGTGAATTTGTAGATTACCTGGAATCGTACCAAGTATGGATTTGGTGAGATAACACAATATGTTTAACTTTTCATGCATATTAATGATATAATCATAAGCTACTGTTGAACAAAAATGCAGCTTCGCCACGTCTGGCGAGCGATAAAGTGAAGAACAAACAAGACTGGACCAAAATAACTTTAAATTAAAACTTAGTAGTAGAAACACTCTTCAAGTATCGTGTTGAAAACAAACTAGTAAAAGTAATACTGTGCTACTTACCGGAGTCATGAAATGTTTCCTTTTCCGTCGCTATTTCAGCATCCGAAAACCACGGAAATTGGCAGATTGTTTAAGAAATAAAATTTTAAAAAAGTGTTTATGTTAGGAAAATAGTTCTGACATTTTCTATACCCGCAATCGTGGTGGTCAAATCAGGGTGGGCGACAAAATCTTTATTTCGTGTGACCGCGTCTTTCCGCTGACTTTGACCACCAAAATCAGCCATGTTTTTGACCACGGGCCGCGCGCTAATAATTTATTGTAATTTTGTTGAAGTGTTCCCTCCAGGTCTTATAGAACTCAATGGTCACAACTCATTTACATACCGATCAATAAGTTCGCACTAAAATTGCTGAAAATTGCAAAACATCAAAGAGTCACAAAAAAGTTTCTTTTTGTCGAATTAAAATTCTGATTGCAAAAATGAACTCTACGAGGCAAGATCTTTAAATATATCAAATAAAAATGGAGGTTAAAAATTCATTGCATAAGCACTATTAACAAGATCAGCTTTGTTAGTTGCTATCGTAAGCTTTGCTTTTCGCCCTGAACCACATTGTCGTTGTAACGTTTGCTATATGTGGACAATCGCAAGGTGAAATATCTTTCTGCTGTCATTTTAATTAGCATTGATCTGCGATCGTCTTATGTTGTATGATTTGGTAAAATTTTTTATTACTATCCATTGTTTAACAAATAGAAAACATTTAACCGTTGTCTATACAGTTATAGATACACGGGTATGACGTCAATTGTGATTAAAACTAAAAAAGTGGCCACGAGCCCTAATAAAATCAAAAGAATTCCCAAATTGAACGGTCAAATAGTTAGTTTTCTTTGTCCCCTATCACCTGGAACATTGAAAAGTCTTGATTTTGCAAATATCGCGCTCACGTGATCTATTAAATGAATTAGAGAAATACTATTGGCTAGCTTAGTCAAGTGACGTACTGAATGTGACGTACAAAATGTGATTGGCTAAAAAAATAAACAAGAAATGGCTGATCAATGTTGTTGAAATTTTGTTATCAAAGACGAAGTACAAATTAATGTTTGAAAACCGGGTTTTTTCTTTTCTTTTTGCTCAAATACGTTAACTGCCTCAACTAGGTCTTTGTGAATATCTTTATTTTCCTATTCAATGAGGTATTGCGATTGAAATTTTCAAATATTTGTTTGTTTTTATAAACATGAAATTTTCTGTGACGTCAATTCTGTACGTATGTCCTCTTATAGATCATAGCTGTAATGTTTAGAATTTATCTTCTTCCTTTCGTATCTATCTATTGTGCTCTCTAATATCTGTTCGTCAACATTTCTCATTCCTATATATATACATGTCATTGTCACTTTTAAGGGGCGTGTCTACAACACTACATCCCTCCTCAACTTAATGGATAACAAAGTCCGGGTTTATTGAGTTCCCATATTGTTCTGTTATTTTTCTTTGTCGGGTTGATCTCCTTGGAGCTGGCTCTTCTGGTTCTGGTTCTATGATGTGTTCTGGTTCTTCACATTCTGGTACGCATTGGTTGTGTCTGTACGGCTGTTCGTGGATGTTGTATTCATCTTCATCAGTTGATTCTCTCGACTTGTCTCTTATCTTTTTAAAGAACGATGTGTTTCTGGTTATTTGATGGTTATGGTTCTCAGCGACTACTTTAGCTCCTCTACGATAAATCACTGTGTATGGTGTTTGCTCAAATTTTGTTGTGAATTTATCTTTCTTCCTTTGTTTTAAGAGAACTTTGTCTCCCACCCTGATATCTGATTCTTTAGTTCTTCTTCTTTTGTTTGCCAATTCTCTTCCTTTCGATTTCGCTTCAAAATCCTTCGCCTGCGCCTCTTTATGTCTATTTAGCACTTTGTCCTTGGGATTTAGCATTGGTAGGATACCTCTCAATGGTCGGTTAAATAGTAGTTGAGCTGGTGGGACATTGGTTGAACAATGAGGCGTAATGCGATAGCTGAGTAAGAATCTTGAAAGTTCTTGTGTCCAATTGCGATGTTCCGCACGGGCTGTTTTGATCGCTTTAGCTAAAGGCTTCATGAATGCCTCGGCCTCTGAGTTTCCTTGCGGCCACTCCGGGATTGATGTCTCGTGCTTCACCCCAAGTTTATGTAGATATTTGGAGAATTCCTTACTGTTGAACGGTGGACCGTTGTCAGATTTGAACTTTAATGGGATTCCATGCCGTGCAAAAATAGCATCTATTTTAGGGATCAGTGCTTTAGCGGAGGTACTTGAGATTATTTCGGCTTCTGGGTATCGCGAATACTTATCGATCAGCACGATGATATATTGTCCAGTAGGGAGCGGACCATAGAAATCAGCATGGATGGTTTGCCAAGGGCCCTCTGGCATTTCTGGACTTGCTAATGGTTCTGGTGGGCTGGTTGATCCATTTACTTTCGTATCTATCTATTGTGCTCTCTAATATCTGTTCGTCAACAACATTTCTCATTCCTATATATATACATGTCATTGTCACTTTTAAGGGGCGTGTCTACAACACTACAATAGCTCTCGACCAATGAAATTGCTCAAATTCTACTGGTTATTATATAAAAAATCATAGGAAACTTGCATTACAAGTTTTTGTTTTAGTTTCTCTTCTCGTGTTGTTTATTAGGATATCATTTCTCTTTGAAAACTTTCACCGAGTATTATATCACAATATACACTGACTAGGTTGGTAATCCAAGTCCTCCGCTGTTGACAAACAAGGTAAAAGCTGCAGCTGAAGCAATTTCATTGTATCTCATTGAACAATAATTGTGGTCAGTGGTTGGTCCATGAAACTGAGAAATAAGGCAGTTTTTGCATGACATGCAAGTCGGATTTTTGATACGTTTTGACACCAAATACCGACCAATGTAGAACAGAATGTTGGAGACAAATTCTGTTGTCTTCATAAAATTGAGTGCAAAGCAAATATATTTACCAATAATAAACGTGCTCCTCTTACGAGTTGAAAGAAGTTTATCCTTATGAGGTGCCTTCAAGCAAAGAAGATAATCTGCTGCAGTTTTTAAACTTTCTCCCCAGGTTTCTTTCGTTTCAGGACGAAGTGATTCCTAGCAATTTTTTTTGAAAGCTCATGTACATCTTTCCATTTAAGATTTCTATCAATAATAACTCCCAAATACTTAATACTTTGTTTTTCCTTAATTTGTATTCCATTTGTCAAAATATTTAATTTTTTAGTACAATTTTTTTGGGAAGGAGAAAAGAGAAGGTAAAATGACTTATCTACATTGAGAGATAGTTTATTAGCAGAAAGCCATTCACTAACAAAAGTCAGTTGATTATTTATTTTAATTTCCATATCTATTAAGCTTCTATCACAACAAAGTACATTTGAGTCATCTGCAAAAAGATGAAAATTTAGCTGAGGGGCACAGTTGCAAAAGTTATTAATATATAAAAGAAAGAGTAGAGGACCTAGTACAGAGCCCTGCGGAACACCACAAGGAATAAGTTTAGTGTTAGATGCAGTATTATTAATGAAAACAAATTGAGATCTGTCAGTTAAATATGAGTAGAACCATTTCAAGGCTATACCCCTAATTCCATAGTATTCCAGTTTTCCAATCAAGATATTCTGATTAACAGTGTCAAAGGCTTTAGCTAAATCTAGGAAAATACCACAAGAAAAAAGTTTATTTTCGATAGCTCCCTGAATTTTATCTATAATAAGATGAAGGGCATGGACAGTAGAATGATTGGATCGAAAGCCGAATTGACCCTCAAAAAATATCTCATATTTTTGAAAGAATTCAACTAATGTCTAGTATACATTAGTTTTTCCATAATTTTATTAAAAATTGAAAGCAAGGAGATTGGACGAAAATTAGATATGTCCGCTCTGTCATCGTTCTTGTGAATGGGAATTACTCTCGCTGTTTTTAATTTGTTTGGAACCATGCCAGTAGAAAATGAATAATTAAATAAAATCTCAAGTGGTACAGACAATAAGTACTTTAGCAATTTTAAAATATTAACTGGAATACTAAAAGGGCCTGTTGATTTAGAAGCATTCAATTTATCAATAATACATTCAATTTCGTTGGTTGTCACAGAGAAAAGTACAAAGCTATTAGCCAAAGAATTTGGCATAAATTTATCAAATGTAGAGTCCACCCAAGGAATTTTAGCAGCAAGTTTTGGACCAATAGTAACAAAGTAATCATTAAAAGCATTAGCAATGGTGATTTTGTCAGTTATTTTTGCATTGTTAATGTCAAGAGTAGTAGGAGCTATTACTGACTTAGTCTTAAAAATGACTATTTGTTTAATTCCTTTCCATGTCTCTTTGAGATTACAATTATTTGTTGCAAGATAGTCCCTATAACACATTTTTTTGCTTATTTGCAACAAATGCTTCAGTTTATTTCTGTAATGGCTAAATTTAGTTAAATTATAGTCACTTCTAAATTTTATATATTTCCTATAAAGGATATTCTTCCTAGCAATAGAGACCCTTATGGCTTTAGTAATCCATGGTTTTGTTTGTAATTTTAATTTCCTTTTTGAGAGTCTTTTTATTGGAATATGTTTATCAATGACTTCAGTTATATTAGTATAAAAAGAATCAAAAATAGAATCAACATCATGGTCATTTGCAAATATATTTTGCCAATTGATACTCTGAACCTCTGCCAATAATCTTTCTCTATCAAACATAGAATAATCCCTCTTGTAAATCACACTTTTAGATGTAGAGTGTGGCAATTTCTTGATTATTAGAAAATTTGGCAGATGATCTGCCAAATTACATAACAAGTTACCACTGATGGTGTCAAATTCAATTGAATTAAAAAAGATATTGTAGCAGAGTAATTAGTTATTCTGGTAGGTTAACGAAATGATAAGTCCCAGAGTAATTCCTGAGACCCAGAGTGGATTTCGGAGTGGGCGGAGTACCATGGATATGATATTCAGCCTACGACAGGTTCAGGAGAAATGCACTGAACAGAACATGCCCCTCTATGCAGTTTTCATAGACTTTACTAAGGCCTTTGACACTGTCCCTAGAGGCGGCTTGTGGGCAGTACTGAAAAAGTTTGGCTGTACTGATAAGATTATCAATCTCGTGAAAGCGTTTCACGAAGGAATGCAAGCTAAAGTCACTCGTGGGAGCGACTGCTCTGAGGGATTCGCTGTCTCAACAGGTGTAAAGCAAGGGTGTGTGCTGGCTCCGACACTGTTCTCATTCTACCTGGCTGCCATGCTGGAGGTTGCCTTCGAGGACACAAGGGAAGGTATCTACATCCAGACTAGACATGATGGGAACCTATTCAACGCCTCACACTTCAAAGCTAAGACACGCACAACACGTCAGCTTGTCAGAGATATGCTTTTTGCAGACGACTGTGCTCTGGTTGCTCACAGTGCAGCAGAGATGCAGGCATTGGTGGACAAATTTGCACAAGCTGCCGCTATGTTTAGCCTCAAGATAAACATCAAAAAGACTGAGTGCCTCTACCAGCCAGTAAAGCTTCTACTCCCTCCCCCAAAACCCTGTGCAATCACCATAGACGGACAACCTCTTGTCCAGACCACAGACTTCAAATACCTGGGTAGTACAATCTCCAGCAATGCTAAGATTGAAAAGGAGCTGAGGAACAGAATGGGAAGGGCGAGTGCAGCGTTCAATCAACTAAACGATCGGCTATGGCAAAATAAGCATGTCTCGACCAGAGTTAAAGCCAAGGTCTATCAGGCGGTGGTGCTGACAACACTCCTTTATGGAGCAGAGGCATGGACAATCTACAGGCTTCAAGTGAAGAAACTGAGTGCGTATATGATGAGACAACTGCGGGACATTCTGAAGATATCATGGCGGGACAAGATCGCAAATGCTAAGATTCTCCGTCTGACTGACCTGCCACACATGGCTGACATGCTGATTCAAAAGAATTTAAGATGGATTGGTCATGTCCATCGTATGGAGAGATCTCGTTTACCACGCCAGCTATTGTACAGCCAACTAGTAGAAGGGAAACGAAACCAAGGCCGACCTCGACTCAGACTCAAAGATGTCATGAAACGAAATCTAAAGAGGAGAGACATCAACGTGACAACCTGGAAGCAACTGGCTGATAACAGACCGGCCTGGAGAGCTTCAATCCAACCATAGAACAGTCCTCGTCGCTTACGACTGACTGCATGATGATGAGTTACATGTGGTTGAAAAAAATATGATGCTAGCGTATTAATAAACTCGCCACTTGGATTGTGCGATTCAAAGTTCAATAGATTTAGGTTAAAGTCATCCATAATAGAACATAGTTTACATTCACTGGAAATTTTACTAATAGCAGCATAAAAGTAGTTTAAAAAAATTTCTAGATTACCATTAGGGTGTGTCGAAAGACGAAGGGCATGAGATGCTCGAGGCAGGTGGAGGTGAAGGACAGTGATAAATGGCCATGTGGTGTGTGTGGGAAAAGAGTTGGAGTGAATTCGATAATGTGTGGGAAATGCAGTAAGTGGGTTCATGGAAGATGTTCAGGTGTCCGTGGTGCATTGACAAGAGTAACTGATTTTGAGTGCGGGACGTGTCGAAGTGATGGGCGAGTCGCGATTGAACGGTTTAAACTGGGTGACGTGAGTTTGGAAGGTGTATCGGAGTTTAAATATCTGGGCGATGTGTTAAATGATGGTGGAGGGTGCGAGCAAGCGGTGAGGAACAGAGTTCAAGCAGCGTGGTGGAGTTTTAGAGAGTTGTCGGGAATGTTGTGCGGAAAGTCGACTTCGTTGAAGCAGAAGGGAGAATTGTACAAGGCATGTGTTATAAGTGTTTTGGGATATGGAGCAGAGTGTTGGGCGCCGAAAGCAGAGGACCTGAGAAGATTGGCGTCGACGGAAAGGAGAATGCTTAGGATGATGTGTGGTGTAACGTTGATGGATAGGATTCGAAGTGAAGAGATTAGAAAAAGAGTTGGTGTTGAGTGTATCGAGAATTGGGTAAGGCGCCAGCGTTTGAGGTGGTTTGGGCATGTGGAAAGGAGGGAAGAAAGTGCTGAAATTCGTAGAACGTTGTATATGAATGTTGATGGAGTCCGCAAACGAGGTAGACCAAGAAAGAGATGGATGGATGCTGTGAACAGTGATATGAAGGCGATGGTATAACGAGAGATATGGCGAGAGATAGAGACGCTTGGCGTAGAAAAGTTCATGGATCGGTCAACCCCCCTGGCGGGGATTAATACTGGCCGGTATACAAATGTTGTTTGTTTGTTGTTGTTTGTACCATTAGGGTGTCTATAAATCACAGCACAGACCAAATTACGTGTTTTGCAGTGCATCTCTATACATAAAGCCTCAAAATCATTAGTAGTTTGACTCAAATCATCTCTTAAGTTAAATTTCATATTATCCTTTATATAAATTCCTACACCTCCAGCTTCAGAAAGGGTAGGTTGAGAAACAAACTGGTATCCAGGAGTAAAAATATTACCAATTACATCCCTATTATGTTTTATCCTAGTTTCTGTCAATCCAACAACACTAAAATTATGTCGAAGCTCTGTTAACAATATTTGCAGACTGTCAAAATTAGACGACAAGCTGCAAATATTACAATGTAGTATAGAAAACTCATAATTAGGAACGGCATTTTTATCAAGTATATTACTATGAAACTCATGGGGCGTATAATAATTAAAGTTTACACTACAAAAATCATTATCATCAGTATCAACACAATTCACATCTGGGAAATCATTCAAATGAGAGCTCAATTCTAGTCTAGGTAGTTCATTAAAGTAATCATCTCTTTTTGAAGAACGACAGCTACTGCCACTAGCTGAATAAACATTGGTGATAGTATTAGCAGCTTTAGACATCACTAGTCTATCAGGAGAGTAATATACTAAAAAAAATTATAGGATAGAATATCACATGACTTATCTTGAATTTGAGATTTTATCCATATCTCAAATCATCCAAGCTGGTGATTTTTCTTCAGGGTGAGTCTGTGTTTTCTCTCAAATAGACACATCCTTAGTTCGTCCATATAAACTTAAAGTTATTCTCTCGGCGTTATTTCAAACACGCCTTGAAAAGTTCTTTGTTTTTTGGAGTCAGGCTTTCCGAGATATATATTTTGTTGTCGGAAATCCTAGCCAATCCAAGATCTTTTGTTGTTATCCTATTCAGCTTTTTGCGGCTTTTAAAAAATAGTTCCTTTGTTTCCCTTCTGACAAATTTCACAATAATTTTTGAATGATGGAGAGCAGGATCAATATTTCGATCGACGGATCTAGTGGTTACTTTGGTTCGTGAACTAGAAGTATAAGGTTCGCTTCTCATAGGCAAGCGATGAGAAACAGAAATATCTTCCGCATCCAGTTTTAGGTCCATTAAAGAGCCAACTCTAATGACTAAGTTATTAGTAACTTCATTTTGTTCGACAGGAATACCGGTTATTTCACAGCAATCTCTACGTTCATATTGCTGGACATCATTAAGTTCTTTAGATAAATCTTTAACAAGATTCGAAAGTTTTGCATTCTCACTACAAAGTCTCGTCGTTTCTTGTTTTAAAGAATGATTTTCCTTTATGACATTTTGCAAGCTGGACTCCAAATTTTCAACCTTTTGTTTAATTTCTTCAAAGCATAAATTTAAGAATTTCACAGAATCGATCATCTCATGGTTAGAGTCATTAATTGGCTTCAATTTCGCATCAAAGATTGATTCAAATTCTTTCTTTGTGATATTGATTTTTTGAGCCATGATAGAAAGACTAAATATAATACAAAAATGACAAAATACGAAAGAAATTTTGAACATTTATCACAGCACAAAGAAATACACGTCCGCCATGACACATGTGCTCAGGCATCATCATACATGTGCTCATCAATGAGCACATGTGACATTGTTTTTTGTGTCTCTAAAAATTGCTAGTTGTAGACAATCAAATTGGCTATGCATCATTTCAGCATTATTAGGTGAAAAGATATTTTTTGCTGCAGCTCATCAATTATATCACTCATTGTTTGCTGTTTGACTTTTTTCTTCTCAATTGTGGTTGCAATGATTTGATTTATCTTTTTAATTTTATTTGCAGATCTGGTAGGTCATTCTTATGAATGTTATCAATAGTTGTGGAACTCTGACAGTAGCTATGGTCATGTGCAACTTTTTCCTCTAGTGACATAGTGGTTATTGGCTGCAAATTACAATGACTTTCTAATTTTCTATGGCTTGTGGATAATCCAAAGGGCAGATTTGTTGCAAATATTAATGGTACAACATTCTTTTTCATCCTACGGGTCCCACTTGTTGTTGGTGGAATAATGTAATCGTAATGTGTAAAATGATCGCTGCAAATACGACTGGCTGGAGTTGCTTGCCATTCTCTATAGTTGTTTTTTTCTTGAACAATTTTTTCCTATTTCTCGAGAATGGGTTTGTTTGTTAAGGGATACCTACATGTGTGCATATCTTTTAGTTATATTTTGATGGACAGAAATACCATTCTCCAACCCAATGTCTGACAAAGCTTACCTGTGTAATGCTACTTTTTTTCAGTGTTAGATGCTTTTGTGAAAGTTTTTTTAGCAGTTTGCTTGTTTTTACAACCAGATATGACGCAAGTTAAAGGCATTTATTGCATTTTTGATGGTACAGATGTTTTCAAAAATGTTTTTTTATTAAAAAATGTACATATTGAGTACTTTACTAACGTTTTCCTGACACTAAGTTTGTTTTAGGCCTGGGGAGGATAAATATCGAGCAAGAACATCTTTTTTGATATAAAAATTGCAAAAAATAATGTTTATATGTAGAACATTAATAGGGGTATGTTTTACTCATATATTCAGCTGGTATTACCCGATTTCTTTTGAAAGCAATTTAGGGGCTTATAACAAGGAGCAATTTCAGCCTTAGACTGAACAGAGCCCGAGTTGAAATTTAAGCGTAGTCGTAATACGAAAACATTCGTTGTATCTAACGTGCGATTATATGTGAAATTTTAAACCCTGTTTTGAGTTCAACCAGGTGCTGAAATTTAAACATTGTTTCAGCTCAATATAATTTTAGCCCAATATTGAACTTAGATCTGGGACGAAAATTACGTCATGTAGACATGATTTTTTGTTTTATATTTTACATGACTATTAGATTAGATTCCCGTTAATTTCTATCCTCGGGGATGAGGTTTTCCATTTAAATGGAATAAATTTCCATTACTTAACGGGCTCAATGCTGCGCAGAGTCGAAAATGCTACATGTAATCATCCCCTTGCTTAAGAATAGTGAATTCAGCAATTCTTTTTCAAAAGAAATCTATCAGGCACAACTGAACATGTGAATAAACACCCCCCACTGCGAAGGATCTAAACATGGATTCGTGAGTTTTCTTAAAAATGCACTCAAAACCAAGCAATCTTTGAATTAGCGTACGTACGTACAGATTCTACACTATACTATATTACGGCGATTTTTACAAAAGAGAGTTTCTTTAAAAAATAGAATGTCGAGTATTTACCAAGTTTAAGTGTTTTTAATGACCAATAAAAGTAACGAATAAAACGGAACAGAATACATCGTGTGCTTCACGCGATTCCCCTCGCAGAAAAGCGTTGAAAATTCTAGTGAACTGACTATTATTGATCTTTAGTTTTCGCAGGAACAAAACCAGCCTTAACCTAAAGTCACCAGGCCCGTATTTTAACAAAATCTACAAGCTACATAATGGTCATTATTACCATTCATTTATGTAGCAATTAACTGTGTCATTACACAGTGGGCAACAGTATACTATACACCGAAAGTAATACATCCGGTGGTTGCACTGAATCCATAAAAATCTTTTTGAGCATATGCGAACAGTGTTCCTTGCCTTCACCAATCACAATTTACCATAGTTTTATTTCTTCCCTGGTAGGCTGAGAAAACCTGGAGTTCGTACAGAGCCAAGATTTCGATTTTTCGCAAAACTTTGGTATTTGCCTACAATATGGTTGCTGGCACCTAGGTTGGCATTATTTGAAGCCAGGGCAGTTTTCTTGGTCGAGCTTGTTGACCTTTTAAAGGACACATACGCGTGAAAAACTTCAACAAGTGGACTCTTAAAACTTTACAATCAAGTAACAAAGGAAGGTAACCTGCAAGCCATGTGGCTACATGATTGACATTTCAGGCGTTTCAACTTACTTTTTTGAAACTTTACTTTTCCAATTCCTCTTTTTTCCTTGAATCTTTCCTTTTCTTCGAAAGTTTGATGCCTTATTACTGATGATATCGAAGTTCTGAGCTGATGCCCAATACGGCGATTGAGATTCTTTCGACCTAACGTCATTTCTCTCTTTTGCTGCATCAAAATTGTCAAGTTCTGCAGTCTCTGATGTCGAAACAGCCCCACTGTACGCCAATGTTAACTAAATTCAAGATAAAAAAGACGACCAACTGATTTCAAAAACGATTGCCGTAATTAATTAAGCAACAACTGTGAATATTAGCAAATAACAAAAGAGCTTGTTTGTCCATCAGCAACTAAATTTGCTGAAACTACAATTTCACTCTCCTTCAGTTTGCGGTCTATCGGTAAATGCTCATCTAACGTAAGTATATCATCAATAGTGTGCTCACTTTCAGTCAGTAGTGGATCAAGGGTAAGTCAAAAGAAATTTCCGCAGCACATTTTAGCATATATTTACATTTCTAAGTACCTTAGAGCCATATCCATTGGAGATATTATATTCTTTAGAAATTCAAAACCAATAGTGTTTTTCTGAAAGCACTTTGAATTTAAAATTAAGGAGCTATCTTATTTTGACGAAAACTGGATCCACAATTGGTTTCAGTGGGTAATTTATCTGTGCTCAGATATTTACACGTCATTTGCGCTTCCTTAACCTCGCCAATATTTCACTTGCACGTTTATCGCCCGCATTCTAAAAAGGCCTCGCTCTCACTCACTGGATGCGGTCCAAAATATTCTCACAACAGTTAAAAAGGGGTATTTTCACTACTATAATTGTTTGATGTTAAAAATTCTAGCCAAAATCTTGCCATCAGTGGGGAAATGAGTTTTTAACCGATATGTGGGAGCACGATTTCTATGTTGCACTATTTAAGTGAGAGAAACTTAGTATACAGACGTATGGTTCGTTATAGTACCGTCTACTAACTTATACTATTGTCATTAACTTACACCTTACACCAAGTACTGTTCTCGCTAACTTACACCATGGATATTTTTATCCCAATCATTCTATTATACAAAAAGACATTGTCTATTGCTCGCCAAAATAACGCCAAAACTCAACCTCTAAAAACTGCTGCCCAAAGTTGTTCATTTTGTACTCCGTCACTCCCTCAATATCGAGCATCTCGTCGCGAGTCATCGGAAGCATCTCGGCCATTTTACGAAGGGTGACGTCGGCAAAGACATGATGCGGTTTGATATTTCTGTCTTCGGCCAAGCGCTTACAACACATGACCAATTGTTCGTAACAAGTACTAGTTACTTTCATGTTGCTTGCAAAATCAGGCTGGCTGATTTCCAAAGAACGTTTTGAAGCTTTCGAAACGCGTTTGTGAAAAGCCGGTAGCTAAAACAGGAACAGAAATATAAGTCAGCTAGATTAGAATGGTTGATAGAATTGTTTTAATATGTCAAAAAGAGTGTAGAGTAGATATGATGAATATTTGCACAATATTACAAAGAATGGGTATACGTAAGGAAATATTGGAGAAGATAAGCTGCATCATATTAAGCTGCATCATAGGAATGTGTCGGAGATGGCTGACCAGTAGGTTATTTTCGAAGGAAAACTGAAAGGTTTGTCTTTACAAACCAGGAGCAAGCATAGACAAGCTTTGCTCCTCGTTGATAAAGCGATTCAAAACGCAGGGTTTGCTGTAACGAAGTAAAATCACTTGGAAATATTTCAATTTTTTCTAGACATCTTATAAGCAGATGAGCACTGGCTCAAAACCACTTATAACTGCTCATAAACACTTGCTCAAATGCTCATGTCACATGACTCAAACGAACACGTTCATTTACATACAGATATACATAATGGTAATAGCATCAGTTAAGATTGCACATTCATTGGTGTTATGAGCATTTGAGTAAGTGTTTATGTGTATTACCATAATTTCTAATTAGCAGCAATTTTAAAAAACACTTGAGAAAAACGACGATTTTTTTGAGAGCAAACATGTTTCGACATTATCCGAATGCCATGTTCAGTGCAGAATGGTTAGTGTTAAGTAATATGATACGTAATATGATATGAATAAATTAATTACAATGAATAAGATTATGATTTAGTTACAAAATTATAAAATATTTACAAAAAAGGAAAAGAAAAATAAGTATTAAGAACTTATAACAAATAATATTATTATAAAGTAAATATAGTGTTGTAGTGGTGAACTTGGATATTTAAATCGGGATTAGTTTTATTAATGTGTAGAGCTTCCTTGATTTTGAGTGAGAAAGTGGATTGATCAGTGTCGATGATTTTAAAACAGGAAGGTGAGAATTTGTTTTTACATGAAGGAGAGGCTTGAAGATGTTTGTAGATAGTGGAGTTTTTGTCTGTGTGAGTATGTTCAATTATCTACCAGGATAATTGAACATACAAGTTATAAGTGGTTTTGAGCCAGTGCTCTTCTGCTCATATAAATTTGTCTCAGTATAAATTAACATCAGCTCTACCCAAGTTGCATTTAACAGATTTTCGAAGTGCATCTTCTGAGATTGAGAAGGTCCAAGGTACTTTAGAAATTTGAGGGCTTCTGATATACCATGCCACACATGTTCTCGATTCATGAACGATCAGCAAAAGGAACCATCAATCTTCCTCATTCAACATTTCCAAACAGTTTTCATAATCTGTCCAGGGTTCAGGTTGACTTCCATCGTTTTCAGATCTTCGTAACTCTTGAATCTTTTTAGTGAGAAATTCTACCACAATCAAAGTAACAAGATCACTTTGATCAATCTCTTTTACCTTTACCGTGTCGGCATGCATTTGATCAAAGGTATGCCATATTTGTTTTATATTTTCAATCTCCAATCAAGAAGCCAAAGCGCAATAGCAACAGTCAAAGTAAACAGCATTTGCGAAAATGTGCTTCAACTATATACCACGAGTGCTTCTGGCGATTTATTGGATGAAGTACATATTTACATTTTCATATATTATGCAGGACTTCCGGTTCTACTCTGTAGCTAATACAGTCTAACGACCCTTTGCTCGTTAAAGTAATTAAAATTCATGATACGATTTACGATTTACAATGTTCCCGTAATTTTCAAAACTTAAAGGTTTACAATTATGTATCCCTGCGACAAAAAAAAACTAAATAAAATTCAGTTTGAGATTTAAATGTTTCAGCTGTATACAGGTGCATTTTTTTAAGGTCTTGCTGTAGTATATTATAAATATTCTCCAGTTTACACCAAGAAAATGATGGTATAAGTTGTCCGTATGCCATATTACATCTTTACACTTCTTCCATCGTCATGCCTGTTTATTGGAAAAAACAACAAGCAGCCTTTGGTGTCGTCCCCGACACTTTCCACTGAAACCAACTTTAAAGGTAGAAGATTAGTAACATGTTACCAATTCCTTATCCATGTTCGCTTCAGGTCAGCGAAGACAGCTCTTTTTCAGAACTTTTTCCGTTCTATCTCTTAAGATATTTTAACTCCTTCATTTCTCAAAATCTGATAAAGGTTTAAGAAAACTGCTTGAGCTGTAAGATCTTTCAAGGTTGACATGTTTCTCTTTAAATTTTTTTTGAGAAAGAATCTTTTTATTTGACAACCGCCATTTATATCTGTTTCATTTCCCATTCATCATGTTAACCTGTTAGACTCAACTTTCTCCCAGTTTCAGGTTGACACGCGCGCGCCCGGTATACTTTCACGGACTGGAAACTAAATGATACGGGTGAGAGCTCCAGGAAAAATGCTGATGTCAGCATTCTTTAGCTGCAGGCATTCTACTCGTCTAGCGTTCGCTGCACCTTTATTATCTGCAATTTTGCGCTGTGACAAACTCTCATTACTCTGAGCACTCATTTAACCTATTATCGCTTTACTTAGTAGCTACTTTTGCAAGCTTTTGCAAGCTTCAAGTGAACAGAGAGATCCAGTTTATTGGGATTACCTTATAACAGCGACAAACAATGTTGGGAGCCTTGCAAACATAAAATTCGCTTTGTAAAAAATAGTTACAATACATACAATACTTATGGCAAAAAATCTTTAGTGAAAATGTTAATGATTTAATCGGCAGAGTCACGTGATATAAAATCTAAGGGATGGCGTTGGGCAATTGTTGAAAGGGTCATTTGACTTAATAGTGAGCTTAAACTACATTTTTTAAATATGGAATAAATTGATGTAAAAATTATTTAATACGTTATGTTATTTAAAATATTTTCGTAAGTCTACTTCATTTTATGGCCATATATTAATTGGCTACTGCAATTGCGTACCTATATTTATTTATGTATATTTATTTATTTATTTACATAGTAGCACTTCGTACCTTCACTTTGCCTTGCATAAAGTTCATGGCTTTTGGACCAAGTTTCAAGTAGGAGATTACCTGACCATGAGTACCAACAGTCAAATCTTCTGCCAGTACATCTTGCATCAACAACATACGAAATAATCTTTCCGCATCGTTGCGATTGAATTTTTCGTCTGCTTTCCCGTACATCGTGCAACGATCAAGCGACTCGCGTTCGATCTTGGGATTTTGAGTACCCTAATAAATTATTGTGAAAAAAAATTGTTTCAAGAATAGAAACTAAACTATAAGTAGAAAAAGGAATTTTGACTTCCTCCATTCTTACAAAATGTATCAAAACAAACAGAACAGTAGAGGTATGTGCAACGTTTCAAAAAATCTTTAATGGAACACGAAGTTTTGATTTCCAATGGTTCATCTCTCAGTAAAATTGTAGCAAGTAATAAAAATTTCTGGATATGAAATACATTCATTATCCTTTCTGTACCCCATTAAGCTTAATATAGTAAGTGATGCCGTAATAATCGTTTTCGGTTTGTTTGCCACACGCAAATCGTTTTGTTTAACATTTTCAACAAATCAATTTTCAATAAATCATTTTGTTTAATAGAAAATTTTGATTTTGCGTAAACGGCAAATCTCAAACCGTAAAAAGTTGCATTATCCTGGCTTTTTAGTTTGCGTTGCGGTTATGGTTTTAAAGGCAAGAGACCCTTCTTGCAGTAGGTGATTTACGCTAGACTTTGTATGGTACTTTTATAAAACAACTATAGATAGATAGATAGATAGATAGATGATTTATTTCTTAAAACTGGCAGCCATATTGCTGAAATACGTTTAAGATTACATATAATACATACATAAATAAATTAACTAAATTACATCTTCAATGAGTTGTAAGTTAAAAAACTATTTCTAAAACGCTTGGCATTAAAATTAGTATTAAATGAAGATTGAGTCCTAAGTTCCATAGTTGAACGTTCTAAACGAGGAGGCAAAAGGTCATGAAGCTTATGTGAGGAATCTGCTACTATCTTCTGAAACAACGCTGTTGTTATATCATTCCTCCTTTCGCTAAGGCGTTGCAAATTAGTAAACTGCAGAGCGTTTTCATATTCTTGATGAGGCAGATTATTTTTAATGCTCGCTTTTGGACTGACTCTAGGTCATCTGACAAATACAATGTCAGACTATTGTGGAACACTGGGCAAGCATACTCCAAGACAGGTCTTATACACGTTTTGTAAAATTGGAGCAATTCCTTGACTTCGATATTTGCTCGCTTTAGTTGAATAAGATAATAGAGGCGTTTACGGCATTTCTTAATTATTTCATTTACGTGGATGTTCCACTCAAGGTTACTGGCTATAAACAATCCCAAAACTTTCGCGTGTTGGACAATATCCAGTGTAATGTTATTGATGGTAATTGGTTGAAGGCCATTGGTATTAGATCCAAAACAAATTCGCATCTCTTTACATTTGGTTTCATTTAACTGGAACGTATCACACGAGATGCTGTTCGCTAATGTGTCCATTTGGTTTTGTAAGTTACTTGTTTGATCTTTCTCAATTACTTCACTAACAGTGGTATCGTCCACGAATTTCCACATTTCATTATTTGGTAACTTGAGATCGTTAATCATCATCAAAAATAGCCAAGGCCCCAATTTTGTGCCCTGCGGAACACCTGCAGGTACGAGTTCCCACTCTGAAAAGCAATCGAATTTCAGCTTTACTCTTTGTTTCCTGAAAGAGGGGAAATCCATAATTCAGTGTAGAACGCATTTCGGTATATCGAATGAACGTAGTTTTTCAACCAATAAGTTATGATCAATCAGATCAAAAGCTTTCTTGAAATCCAATAACAGCACACGAACGGCCGCCCCGTTACCATCAGTTGCTTCATTCCACGACTGTAACATACTAAATAAAGCTATAGTTGTGCTTGAATTTGGAATTGCCCCATACTGATTAGAGTCTATCTTCTTAAGTACAGCTGGTTTGACATAATTTTCCACAACAAACTCCTCGGCTACTTTTGATACAATCGCAGTAAGTGATATAGGCCTTAAGTGTTTATTAATATCTCGTACAGGTTTCTGCTTTGGAATCGGTATATCTGCTTCTACATAGCACATGTATTCTGTCCAAGACTTTTGTTGTTCCTCTCTGAATTCTTTCGTCAGGCTGAATTCCATTGGTAATTTCTGTTGATGAGAATGACGATGCTGGAGATGCCAAGAAGTCGACTGACGATTCTGCATAGGAACTTGTTGATGGAAGTATTGGTGATAAGGGCGTCGTTGGAACGACTGACGATGCCAAAAATGGGTTTGTTTATGGCCTGTTGCGGTCGAATGTACTCGCTTCGTTACTCTATCACTTCGTGTGATTTTTAAGTCTTTATCTACTTCAGAATTAAAGTTGCTCTGATGTTTTCGTTGATGCTCGTTATTCTGAGAGACAAGTTCTTTGCTAGGAATTTCATTTCCTTGCGCCTGTTGGTTTTGAGTGTTAATCGTTTCGCTGACTTTACAGCTTTGATAATTACTCCGCTGCTTGCATTGATATTCATGTAATTGGGACTCAAGTTGATTTAAGCATTTATTACTAGGGAAATCTTTCTGATATTTGCTTTGTTGCTTTCGTCGATACTCAATAAGCTGTTTATCAATTTGAACTTGAGTCGTTCTTCTACTCTTGCAGCCTTGACCTGCTGCAGGGGATTTTACTGATTCCTGCACACCCACGCTTGTCTCGAGATTAGCAGGTTTTGCATTACAAATTAAGGGCACATTGTTTTGCGATGCAGTCGTTTCGTCATTTAAAGGAATTTTAGGTTGAATAGTTGGCGTGGCATGTGACAAAACAAGCACTTCACTTTCCATCTTTGTTAAGCGTGACTTAAGATTCAAATTTTCTGTTGTCAATTTGCATATATCTTGCTTGTTTCTAAGTAAGACTTGCCTTTGTTCTGAAATTTTTGCCACCATTTTAAACACCGTTAATTCAATTTGATTTTTAAACTCATCAAACTTGTCCTCTGAGGATGTTATAGCGTCTCCGGCTCGACAAGGAGTTGCGCCGATAAGAGTTTCCGTTAAATCGTCCTTATTTGTTCGTGACGAAAGTTTTTGATTGGAGCTATCAATAAAGTCCTGTAACTCCTCAATTGTCGACTGGTCAAAAGCCGATACAGGCAAATTTCGCGTTTCAGATTTAGCAAGTTCGCCCCTTGTTTCACAGCTTTCACGTATAGTTTGCTCAGCAGATTCATGCTTATTTTCAATATCGGTGTTAATCTTGTACTTCAGACAAGTTAGCAATTGAGGACTCCAAGACGCTTATCAACAAATTCCTAAATGATTCTCCGTCCTTTTCATTAAAAGACATTGTACTTAGCTTACCCAGGTACCAAGTTATAATCAAATCTAGATCGCTGCTAACAAACTTTTTTGATTTACCTCCGGGCGATTTCCAAATGCCCACCAATCCGACGGTGTTTTCGACAAAATTTCGCAAAGATATCAGGTCACCTGTCCACTTTAATCGTTGACTATCAAACATCAAAAGGGCTTCTTTTATTAATTTAATCGCATGTATATCTGTTATATCTTGTATGATCCGGCTTATTTCGAGCGATTCCATTTGAACTTCTACCGCCGCCATATTACATGATATGAATGACCTTTATGACTCAATGGCTTATTCAACATGATTATGCTTAACTGCTACCAAAACATGAAACTTAGCTCGGGACAATGAAAACTGTAAATTACAAATGCAAAACGTCATGCTAAATTAATTATTCTTTGAAACTCTATAACTAAAACTATCTCAAACGTTTAAGTACCGAACAACAACAGTGAATGATGTATCTTGAGTCATTTACCCAAACGAGACATAATTGATGTATGTAAATCTTATTAAGCCCTAACTAACCAAGAGCCAGGTCTGTACAAAAAACTTCGCTCCGATATTTCTCAGTAACGACCGAAAATGCGAGGTTAATGAAAAGTTTATCATATGGCATTGCTTAACATGACACAAAACTTTTTTTCGTTTTTCTCTTGCTGTTTTGGACCGGTTGATTTTTACTTCTGTAGATTTTGTCATTAAAAAATTACTGTTTCGAAATCATGTCGTCTGAATGATCAAACTAACTTTCCTATTGTTTTTCCTTCGACTTGCATTCGTGGTTTTTTCATTTTGTTTCGTTTTTTTGCGCTTTGTTGTTTGCTTTACGAAGTTTGTTTACATTTATTTGTAAAACTCTGCGTATTGGAATGCCGGTCCTGACGGGAAAGTAATGAACTGGTGAAAATGTTTCTAAGCTAATCAAAACTTTCGCTATTTTGCCGGAAGTGACGTTTACCATATGATAAACCTTAAAAATATCTTGAGCTGTTTGGTTCTAACTACCATCAATAAATAGAGAACGAATTAAACGCGCAAAAGCACGGCAAATTGTAGATCATCATCATCATCATATCTTGTCGCGCTGTGGCGCGTGTTGTAGCAATCAGTCGAAATCAGGGACGGCACGTGAAGCCTTGCTACTTGTCCCCCACCAAATTTCCCTTACATGGCTTTGGTCAACCCGGGCTAGGTTTACAGACATATTGCCAAATGTGCCACGAGCCGGTATTGAACCCTCGCCGTCTGGCTTATAGCTCACGCAATTAACCATTCAGCCACTCGCCCCACGCTAAATTGTAGATTATAATCATTGCAAAAAAAAAAGCCTTGACTGTTGCCATTGTTACAAAAATTAAGAATGTTACATCACTTCATTTGCATACAAACGCACACAAATAGAGAGACGGGCATTTTTTTCGCTACAGCAGTATTTATGAGCATATATCTTACCTTGAAAACGTCAACAAGTTGGTTTAAGGTCAATTGAGATATTGGTCTTGCCCAGTTACTATTTTCACGATGGATCAACTGGTTCACAGACTCAACAATCAACTTGGTGTCTCTAGTAACGTCAAGCTGAGTCATTTTGTTAACCTGAGAGCAATTATCACACATCGTCACATGATTGTCGCGACATTCTCTGGGATCGAATCCTGTCTCTCCAAAATACTCAAGGAGTTGCAAACGTCTGCATTCAGTTATATTTTCGCAGTATTGCACGACGCGGTAAAGATTGTTCATGTGAACGTTTAGCGATGTCGTGTTCATCGTCTTGTCAGAGGAAAGCAGCCTGAAGAACAAAGTCAGGCGGTCAGAAATTTTCATATCACTATTTAGGCTCCCATCAAAGCAACTACCTATTTACAAAATAACAATCATACAGCAAATATAGCAAAGAAAAAGAAAGTATCTCGACAGATAGAATACAGTTGAACCTATATGCGGTCCTGTATCAAGCGGCATATGGCTAATTCTTAAAATCAATCCCTGTCAAGCAGAAACCTTCATTAAGTGGATACTAGCCTGTTCCTTTAGTGTGTCCGCCTAGTTCAGATTTTACTGTACACTGACGAGAAACGTAAATCATCGACTACGAAAAATCAAAAAAAATATTCGCAATCTCAATTTACAAAAAAATGGCAGACACAATATTCTGTACATTTCTATAATTGTCACGTGCCAAAAATGAGAGCAAGAGCACGATGTTTATATGTTTAGGTTAATTGCCCTCCAATTTACTTCGTATCATTATGGAACATGTGATAAAATCAATATAAAATTGAATGTTTTAATTGAAAATTGGTCCACTTTTACAAAAATAAGGTAAAGTGTGTTCTGCTTGTCATTCCCCCCAGATATGAAACTGCAAATTTTGTCAGACCCTCTTTTACAATTTACTAAGTTTTGGGCATATCATGTTAGACGAAGTTAAGATTGTATATTTAACAAATAGACAACATTTAACCGTTGTCTATGCAGTTATAGATACTTGAGTATGACGTCATTTGTTTATAAAGACGCAAAAAGTGGCCACGAGCCGCCGGGGCGAGTAAGTTTTAGTTTTTATTGTTATCAAAGACGAAGTACAAATCAATGTTTGAAAACCGGTTTTTCTCTTTTCCATTTGCTCAAATACGTTCACTGCTTCAACTAGGCATACTTAATTTTTTTATTTGATCATTCAGGGATAAATTCAGATAAATATTCAATTCAATTCGCCGCTCGTTTGTCATTTAATAACAAGAAATTTTCAGTGACTGCAATTTCGTCCGTCTGTCCTCTTATAGATCATAGCTCTCGACCAATGACATTGCTCAAATTCTTCTAGTTAACATATAAAACTGTATATTCATAAAAAACTGACCGAAGAAAAATCAATTACTGAAAGTAAGTTGAAAACAAAACGATTAAGAACAATACGAAACTCATAGAAAATATAGGGTAGCAATAGGTACTACTATGCGTGTGTTATTTCTATGATTTCCATTACGTTTTATTAGAAAATTCTTTATAAAATAACACGCAACAAAAGAAAACGCTTGCACTGATTGGTCTAGAGCTGAGTTTGCATAAACCTGTGCAAACACAGTTAATATGCTCCTTTTTATAATGCAAAATCCTGTACATATACTGTTAGAGTACGAAAAACAATTCATTTTGAATTGTAATTGATGATCATAGTTGTGAAATTCAAACAACTGAAAAAATTCTGCAAACTACAAAACCACACACATACAAAACGCCTAAAATGAACGTATTTACTTACCTCTTCAATCGATGAACATCGCCATAATTATAGAACAAAATACAAACGGAATTTTGTCCATCACGACCTGCGCGCCCACATTCTTGAAAATAACCCTCAAGGGACTTTGGGAGGGTATGATGAAAAACAAAACGGACGTCAGGTTTGTCTATGCCCATACCAAACGCTATTGTCGCACAGATCACTTTACAACGATCTCGGATCCAGTCTTCTTGAACACGGGCTCGCTCAGGATCAGACAGTCCAGCGTGATATGATATGGCCTGAATACCAGTGCAACGTAGGTCATCCGCCAGTTTATCACACTCGTTCCTGCAACAAGAGCCTAATAATTATTATGACGTCACTGATGTGGTAGAACGGAAACTGACACAAAACGCTGTGCATTATTTTTGTCAAGCTTGATGGTCCAAATAAATACATAACAATAGACATGATGTTATTTTTTTTTAAATTCCGGTCGAAGTGTACGAGAATACAGGCGATATTGCTCATCAATCGGTGCATGACATCAAATTTCATTCCAAGAGTCTCATGACCTGATTTAACCTGTCTCATAAATGTCTTTTGGCTCTTTAAATATAGCCTACCAGAAACGCTAACTCCTTTATTCTATTCCTGTGATTGTAAGTCCGCTTAAGCCCAAAAACATTTCACACTCCACGCAGATAGCGGAAAAAACATTCCACTTACATGAAATCATTTTTCCCTTTTTTTGTGTGTTTTTGGTATTATTTTTGGTATTATAAATAAGCTGTTGTAGAAATTATATGAATATGAGAAAACGTACAGAATAGAAATTGCAAGAAAGTGACAATGATTGATGCTATTTGTACAGGTAATAGTATAGTTTCCAGTGCAATTACGGACAAACATGCCCCAATGATAGTATTTTCCTTAGCCTCAACTAGAGCGGAGTCGGCACCAACAACAAACCAAGGGGAAACGGTCGGCAACCAAAAGTTGTTGCACATAAAGATATGCAAGCTGAAGGCTGTCTAGACCATCACTAAATATGGATCGTTCCACCGCTGTGTCCTATGTAAACCACAAGGGATCGACCTACTTGCCACTAGAGCTTATATTACACCAGTGCAATCAGAGAGAAATACACTTGTTACACAGCTCAACACAAACAAGGGAAGACCAAAATCTAAGCAAACCAGGAATCAGACAGATTTTGGACAACAAAGGATGGATGATAGATTCATAGTTTATAAGACCTTTCTTAAGAAACTGTCTAACTGATCTCTTCGCCTTAACAAGACAACTACTAATTTACATCAGTTGGATGCCAGACCTAGAAGCTCAAAACTGGGATGCCTTCCCCTTAGACTGGAAGGAGCATGCGTGATATGCATTCCCACTATCAGCTTGGTTTTATGATTCGCCCAAAGTGGTGTCGTACCAGACAGAGATTGTTCTACTAGCTCCAATTTGGCAACAACAGTCTCTGTTGCCCTAACTATGTACTCAGTCTTCTCGTACAACTCTTAATATTCCCTTTTATTAAGTTTGAGAATAGTTCTCACCTCTTTAGCGGACTGTTTTGAGCTGGGTTAGGAATATCGAACTTTAAATTTTTTCAGATCTGCACTATCATCACTATCAACAAATAGGCTGTTATCAAATTGGACTACACTCACTGTCATTAATTTGTTGAAAGGTGCTCCAAATAATGGCCTTTCAGAGCCTAGATATTCTCCCATATGGAAAATTAGTATACTGTAACAGCGTCTTTAAACTAATGAGACATAGCAGAGTTTCTCTCTCCTAAAAAGAACAAATTAATGAGCAATACCGCTTGTATTCTCATGTATTCCCCCCACCCAAACTACATACCTGCAGGCCGGAACAGCTCAAGTTTATAATTCGAACTCTCAGTCAGTGAGGAAACCTTTACTCTTCACATTTACTAAGACTGATATCATATCAGTTACATACCTTGATAAACAATATATTATCCCACAATCATTGGCGTGGAAATTTCTAATCGTCTCGGTAATTTGATCACCGACCTTCTTCTTTTTCGCTTGCAGAAGAAATTGCAAGTTTGGACGATTAAAACTTTGACTAAACCTAAGAAAAAGAAAGATTTTTGCAAAATCAGAAGTCGAATAGAAATGGCAATAAAATTTGTTTCATGGATAAACATATAGCTAAACAGTTATTCTTTACTGAAAAAAAGTACAACGTATATTCGAGCGCAGTCCGAAACAAACTACAGACGTTCGGTCTAGCAAACTATATCACATGTTCTTATGGTGCCTACAATAACCTTCGATTTAGGTTTTGCTTAAGAATAAATGTACATGCTCACAATTCCTGGTGATGAAATAAAATATGGAATGATGGAAAGTATCACGTAGAAATTCGAAAATCATCTCGAAGAGCGCGTAGCTTTTAAATGAATTTGGATTTAACAAATGTAGTAAAACGTTTTCCTGCAGCTACATTACAAACACTGAATTTAAAGACGTCACTTACCAGTTACCAAAGAAATTGCATTCAACTTACCACATGCAGTCATTCAATCGCAATTGCGTCACAATATCTTTGCGAACCCTCGGTGTAGCTGTGGCAGTCAGTGCCATGATGGGAACTTGTGGATACTTTTCTTTTAAAGCTGAGAGTTTCTTGTAGTCGGGACGAAAATCGTGGCCCCATTGACTGACACAATGAGCTTCGTCAATGACAAATCTACACAATCGCTTACGTTGATAAAGATTCTGCAAAGTCGAGATAAGTTTGTCGCTAGCACTAAGTTTTTCTGGAGTAACATAGAGGAGTTTGGTTTGTGGTTCAGCGCTTTGTAAATCACGATAAATAATGCCCACAATCCTGTCCGATGTTTCACCAGTCATCTGCTTAGCAGGAATCTATAACAGATGAAATTACTTATCAAATACTGCAAGTAAAAAGGGACGTTTGCATTGACTAGTCACAACCTAAAGTAACTCAACGTTTCCTTGTGAATATTAGAACTACTTTTGGACGCCATAGAAAAAGATTACTATATACAAATGTTGGCTTTTGATGTATCAGTCGAATAACTAGCTGGAAATGCACTTGCAACTGTATCAGAGAATGCTAGACACGTACTCGTTAAAATATTTTATGAAGCCATCAACCTGCCCACACCTTAATGAAGCGATGCCATACAGTTAATGTTTTGCTAAATTTCCAAAAGATAAAAATCAGAAAGCCACGTAACGCAGCCTAACAGTACTTGTTGTTTTGTTTTTATTCTTTGCAATCTTTTGTAATTCTTGAATTTCAAACGATTTCAAATGTTGAAAATTTCTATACTTACAACTGCCGCCATGTATTTTTTGAATAGGAAAGTTTGTTGGCTTTCACCGCTTTTTAGCCAATCAGGTTACAGTATTTACAGCGCCATTACACTTTTCCACAGTGCAATTACATTTTTTTAACAGTGCAATTACACATTTTCGCAGTGCAATTTACAGATAAACTTCACCGCAATGAATCAATCACAGTGGACAAAAATCTCAAGGTATATCATCACACACATTAATAACCTCCTGACTTTGCATGCTTACATGATTTGACACAAGTTTCATCACTTGATCCTGAATCAAAGACTTTAAAGGAGAGACCACAATTGTCAAACCGGCAGATATGATAGCAGGAAGCTGGTAGCAAAGGCTCTTGCCTCCACCCGTTGGCATGAGTATGAAACAATCTTTATTTAACAAAGCAGCAGTAATTGCCTCTTGCTGGTTTGATCGGAAAGATTTCAAGCCAAATGATTGACGTAAAGCCGAGTTCATGAGCTCACTGAAAGCATAATCTTTTCTTTTGAATTCACCTGAGGGCAAAAGTTCAATATGATAGAGTAATTTTACAAGTAAAAACCAAAGTCTTAACGACAAATTAATCCTGGAAAAGGTTGTAGTTATAGTTAAAAATAAAAAGTGAAAACGTCAGAAATTCTCCACTGACATGCAAGATTCTAATAGTATTCGCCGTTATATATAACAATATATAACAAAAGAATCAATGAAAAGAACTCTGCATTAAAACAAGAAAGAAAAATGTATACATTTCGACGTCAAATGAAAGGCGTCGACTCTCGTTATATCGGACAAACTAAAGACCGTGAATTAGTGTCCGTAATAGCAAGGGTTCGCACAACCTTACGTTTAAAGAATTTATTACATATCCAAAATCAGATGGTTGAATTGACCCAACTCACTTCCCTGCATGATATCATGCAAAACCTAATTGCACGATGACAATTTTTCACGTGGCACCAACAAAAAAATCAACGTAGCTTTGAAATTGGGCGCCAGTCCTCTTCTCCAATTCATTTTGAAACAGGCGAACACAGCACAAGAGACATAGAAGTTTAGAGATGAACGAAAATGAGCTTTTAAGTTTGAAAAAAATACCTATTTTCAAAAACTAGTTTCGCAAACAAGACAAACAATAAATGCCGTTAAGTTTGAATCACGACTTTCAATCAGATTGAATATAATCTCAATACTTATACTTATGACTGGTGTAATAAACAAATACCATCATGGTATGTTCGCGGCTACGGTTTCTAACAACTGCAGAGAACATCATGTGTGAAATGGAAAGAAAAACGCGAGCCGAGCTGTACGTATAATAAATACCAATTCAGCAGCAAATTTTTAAATACCAGAATAATGACTCAAGTTTCAGTAATTGATTTTTCAGTTCCCCGTCTCCAATGCCGGCCAAACAGAATCATCCAGCATTATTTTCAGTGGTTGTTTCATTGTTCGATCTATTTATTCACTCAATAAACATTTAAAAACATTGCAGGCTTACTTCTGTATCCATCGTCAGGGAGAGAATTCCCTTTCCCTTCCACGGTGTCACTAACTTTTGTGCCTGCACAGGAGGATGGCAGAGGCAATCTAGGATATGGCGTTGATGGGTTTGTTGTTGAGATGAGCCCTAAATAATGAAATGATTTGGAAATGGAAATGGTCGTTAAGCGCTAATAGCAACTTTGAAATACTTTTTGAACAACTGAGTAAAATTCATTAGGTTTGTTTGCTGTCATAATAGACTTTCGTGACCAACGTATAACTCATTACGATCAACGAATGTGACAAGTTAAATGTAATATGTGAACACTCCATGTTGATCGCTTCTATATAAAGGAAAAGTGAAAGTAGTACAAAGAAAGCCCCTTTTTTACTCCCAAAATATAACAATATTTTTGCATTAAAACAATGGAAAAACAATAAACGGAATTTACTTTCTGAAGAAATTAATAATAACATTGCTGAAACTTTGGAGTAGCACCCGTATTCTAAAACCTCACTCACACTCACACACAATGAGCGAATGTTTTGAAATAACCTCATCAGAGTCGTAGCTATAGCTTGGGGGTGGGGGTGTCTATTCATTTATTCAGAAATCCTACTGATTTCTTACAAACGTGATTTGTCTCACTAGCTAAGGCAATTTATCTCATAATTATATGAAGACAGAAATTTTACTCTACTGATTGCTTACACTTCAAATATTCTATCAAAAAATCTTGCCATTGATAAGAAATGATACTTCCATTGTTTAAAGAGAGTGCAATTTTTATGTCCGCTGGGTAATTATGAGTGAGCTTTCGAAATACAGGCATAAAGATCGGGTAGCTTCGCCAGTGGGTGAGGGCATATTTTCTTCAAATCATCATGCAATTCAAAACAAAAGTTAGTCACAGACACGCAGTAACGACGCCAGAAATTTTCAGGCGGGTGCAATATAAAAATGTGGAAACAGACACTGAATTTAATTACTGCGTTCTTAGGTCACAGGGGGACGACACAGTAAACTTTCAAGGGGACCTTCTCCTGTCCCTCATCGATGCCAAGAAGACATTCTGGCTACGAGACTTACATAAAAGAGAGGCGTGTCGGGAAATGAAAATCAATTTGTTCTAATGACACTGAAATTACCGCTTTTTTTCGCCATATGGCTTTGTTTCTCGGTGTTGGATGAATTCGTCATCATCACAAAAAGTCGTCTCTTCTCCGCTTTCAATCGATTCCTAGAAAAGAAGAATATAAATATAACTTATTAGAGTTTCTTCGATACGTTCGTAAACCAAAACCTAATATTCTATTATTTTGTAAATTACTAACGTGTTACCATGAAATATAAAATCAAGGATGGTTTATTCATAAAATTCAATTACGTAATGATAAAATAACAACAACAAAACGCGTACGTTTATTGTATGTAGCTGACATTAGAGTGTGCAAACCGAACTGAGCTGAATCAATTAAGTCAATCAAAGAGAATTTGCAAATCAATTATAAATACATGTTAAAGACAAATTAAAGAATTTGTTCAAAATTTCTTTTTTTCGCTTTATTGTATTTCTATAAAAGAGCTGAAAGATGTTTTTTCTGTTTGCATTGCCTTATCGGGCTCCCACCGATCTGATCTGGTCTCGCGTTCTCCCAAAGGTCTCTTCGATTGGCATAACCTTGTGCAAACAATAAACATCTGTTGTTTCTTAATTTTTAAATGATTTTTAACAGACTTTCAGTGGCGTAGCCCAGAGCCCTACATACGAAAGAGTTGGGACACTGGAAGTAAAATTGCTAAGCTTCAGCCATTTTTGTACAAACGCCAGCAAATATACAGCATTAAATGGTGGAAAGCCAAATTTTCTGTTGTGTTTTCTTATTCAAGAAAAGACAGTGATCGCTATCTTTAAAATTCAGTTGTTTATATAGATGTTATGATAGAAAAGAATATATTTAATGCATTGGATATAATTTATAGGCTTTTAATACTGTTTTGCCACAAGTAGATTTCTATTCATCATCGCTTTGATTGGCACTATTAAAACGCAACATAAAATCATTTTAAATATATTTATCTTGTATACGAAATGAAGAAAATAATACGTCTCCCAACTCTTATATCAATATAGGCCTCTGGCGAAGCAACCGCAAATTTCTTTATGCTACGTAAATTTTTCATCATTAGCATTATATTCATTTCTTATTGTTTTTACAGCGAGTGAACAAGTGATGAAAAATTTCCATAGCATGAACAAACTTGCAGGCTGGCTAAACCACGGTGGATTTTGCCCTTCCCCCTTATTTATTACCGAGCCATGAAAACATGACGAAATAACAGCCAAAATTCATAAGAAAATAACGAAAACCTTTCGACTTGTTTTTTCTTGTATAAATCATATTTATCACGTCCCAAAACATTTTCCATCAAATCATCATCAAGAGATTTTAATATGTCAGCGATTTCTTCCAGAACAGACACGTAATCATTCGAAAATTTGACAAGCTTCGATTGGACATCATTTAAAGAATTCATCGAAGAACTGCTTTCACTCGGAGTGAATTCAGGAAAGCTTAAAGGGTCGTCGTTTGAAGTGGATTGTGACGCATCTTCAACAAGGATTTTCTTCTTAAGAAAAGACGTCTCTCATAAGGAACATGCAAATATAAGTACTTCAACTATTTGTAAAAGTGTTTTAGTTTGCAAAAGTTTCTTCACCAGTTCACACTCGCGATGAAGACATTTTATACACGTATAACATCAGTTCGCATTCAGAATGCTGACATTTTACTATAGTATACAAAAGCTAGAATTTTAAACTTCAGTTCACATTTTTGGGGAATATGTTGGACTGGAACACAAAAAATAGAAATTAAACATCAGTTTAACTTTTAAAGCAAGACGTTGACTAAGCGATATATAAAGATTTGAAATAACTTTTCCTGGTGCAAAAACTAGACCGGCATATAAGAAATCATAAACAACATAAGATCTCAGTGGTGAGCACAACCTAAAACGAAATTTAAATACATGCCTTCAAATGATGAAACGATTTTGCTTTCGCGTTTTTCAACAGGAGATCGTCATTTTCTATTAATGGCACACTAAACAATATCAAAAAGAAGTAGAATACTTTAGCACCACAGAAGTAATGTAAAACAGATTTGTAAAAAATGTAATTAAATGTTTTTATTCTTTCAATGAATACTTGCATGGCACTATAAATTTTCATAAATACGGAGCGGACAACGCATAAAGTTACTACATTTTATAATGCAAACCATTTGTTTTATTTTTAAGATGTCTATCTTTATTTGCAATCGTAGTCAAATTCATGATGCATTGTGCATTGTACATGGAAGTTACATTCATGATAAATTAAATATAAGTAATTTACCGGCTAGGAGGTCCGGATAGAAAAATATTTTTGAGAACGAGGGGAAACATTTTTCCATCCAGACCGACCTAAACAGTAAATAACGTATTTATTTTTTCTTACATTAGACAACAATCGTATTAGATTTCTTTGACAAATTCAACAATGGCGAAGTCACTGGAAATTTTCTCCCCACAAAAATTTTTATCCCTATCGGGCCAAATTACCTAGGAAACTTGTCCTCCTCCGGGTCACATTTCCTAAAAAATATGTCCCTCCGATCGTAAATTTCTTCCCTCTCATTCGAAAGAAGTTATGAAAAACTAAAGTAAAAATTATAAACTATAGTAAAAAATATAAAATTTATTTTAAATAATTGAGTAAATATTTACTAAAGCGGTTTAGTTCCTTTCTGAGTCATTAGAGAGTTTTAGTTTGGCGTCAACTACAAAAGGCAAACCGCAAAAAGTCACGTGATCATAGCTTTGCAGTTTGCGGTTCAGGTTTTAACGTCAAGAGGCTCTTCTTGCGATGGGGATGTACCGCAATACAAAAAAGTGATGTTTATTGCTCAATGCTATATTTTTAGGTGAGCATCCATCATGAACATGCCTTTTTATTGACAAAATTTTAACCAAAAATGAAATTTAGCTCATGACAATGCAAATTGCATAAAACAAAAGCACCACCCCCACCTACATTCAAATATTTCCGAAACGGTAAACCTCAACGGTAGCGGGTAGTTGGTCAAATATACAGAGGAATCCGGACCACGATAAAGATATCGTAAAAAACCGCACGCTGTTGCAGCCAATCAGATGGCAGGAAAGGTTTTGTAAAAAAACAAAAAAAGTAAAAATGTTGGATAGCCATGACAAATGTATTCACTGTTCTCTATGGTACAACAGCATACACACATAGAGGTAGAGTGGGATACCCAATTTAGTAAGTCCTTTTTAAAGAACCTACCTACTGCAATCATCAAATGTCGCTACGGTTGAACGTTTAGGCGAAAGATATACTGGAGATCCTGGACTTGGAACATTAAAGTCACACTCAGCCTAAAAATGAAATATTATCTAGGATTTAACTTCAACTCACAAAGATACACAAGACTGCCATGCAAAGCAGTAGAAACAAGAAAGTGGTCAAAACATATTCAATACAAGAGAGGGTCTGAGAAGTTTGTTGGATTTGAATAAATTTTATGATGTATGTCGGGTCTTGGTCATTGAGTTCTATAATAACTGGAGCGGCTATCTCAAGCGCAGCTTTAATTAGCGGTTGACGCCAAAAAATGGAGGATTTGTTACATTACCGCTGAGAATTACCGAAATTGACTGCTTTTCCGAAAATCTCACTAGCTCTCTCTCCCCCTTGAGAAAGAATGAGGAAAAAGTATATGTGTTTTTCGCATATTTGGCAAGCAATTTTAAGATGAAAATCACAGTAAAAACATATATTTCATAAAAGCGAGTCTACTGTGGTTGCCAGTTTTCGGCTTCTACGACGGATGCCTTTTTTTAACTATTGACGAACGATCTTTTTGTTGGCCACATATGAATGCAGATGTGCTCGTCGTAACTGTCGTTTAATGATTGGCTCGATCAAAGTTTGTAGTCTAAACGAAACAAAATATATCAAATTTTATCTCAACGGATCACGAGAGAAATGTTAGCTCATTTATTCTCATTTATTTTTGCTTTCTTTCATGTGATGGCCTTTTCGCAACAATTGTAGGATTTGTTTTGTACATGCATATCGCGTTTCGTAAATGAATAATGAAAAAAATATATTGTATACAAATCATGAGAACCCTTGAGATTTTGTGGTCTTCTGAACTGCATCAAATACTTGTCAAGTCGTAGCATATTTGATTTCGTAGTAATGTTTGTGAAATGGCAAAAATGCAAATAATTAAAACACTTAAATTACAATAGTGTTTATAATACTTGAATACATAAATACACAATTGTGAATTTAATACTTCTCTTCTCTTTCTCTTTTTTATGTGTTAGCCATGTGAGTTCAAAATTTGATTGACTAATACAGCTTTCACCTCAATAATAAATTTTATACCCATACTTAATACCAGTAATCATTTACTTTTGTTTGTATTCAGCCTAATAATTTTGCAGTTAGACTCTGTCTGGTCAATAACATCTTCCAATTGTCTTCAGATAGTGATCTATGAAATAGTGTTGGTACTGGTATTGCAGCATATTCCAGATACATTTTGCTATCCGATCATGTCTTCATGTTGTCAGCAAATTGATTAGAACAAACTCTGCTCTGCTTTATGGGTACTCTTTGGGGGTGATCGTTTCTTCATAGTATCTGCCCACTGAGTAAAAAGAGCAGAATCCTTTTTTCGCGTCAGGGAAACTATTTTGCAAACAGACTTACGGTTTCACACATTAACAAATAAGTGGAAAAGTATGTTGATATCTAAACACAAAAATAGGAAAACATCAACGGATTTTATCGCTCAGGCTTCAAGTTCAATTGCTTTCCAATTTTTGATGAACAAACAAAACAAATATCTCACCTGTGAAAGCGACATGTTCCTTTTTGTGGACATTACGATATTCAACAATTGAACGATTGAAGTGTTTGTATTTTAAAAGAAATGTCAAAGAAAGATATCGTGTTTGTTTTTGAAAAATGCTGTATAATTAGCTATAGACATCAGGGGGAGGTCGAGAATATAATTTTTCTGCAAAGCGATCGTTTCAGCGGAAATAGGTCTATTGGCCGCCATTTTTTTGGCGTCAGGTCCCAGTCCACATAGCCGCTCCAGTTATTATAGAACTCAATGGTCTTGGTACGAACAGAAATGTGATTCTAATTGTGACGTGACTTCTATTTTGCAAATTAATCATCGAATGAAATTTCCTAGATAAGGTATTGCGATTTCCAACCATTGAGTTCTATAATAACTGGAGCGGCTAACTGTACTGGGACGAGGAAGCCAAAAAAATTGCGCCAACGGACGTATTTCCGCTGAAATGATCGCTTTGCAGAAAAAATTATACTCGACCTCCCCTTGGTGTCTATAGTAAATTATAAAGAATTTTTCAAAAACAAACACGATATCACAGAATATGGATATCGTTAGTTCCATATTCTGTGACGATATCTTGTGATCATATTTTGGCATTTCATTTATAATGCCAACACTTCAAACGGTTGGATGTCGTAGTTTCTACAAAAAGTAACATATCGCTTATCACAGGTGAGATAGTTGCTTGTTTTGTTAGTCCGTCGACGATTGAAAAGCAATTATACATGCACTTGAAAAGCCATAAAATACACATTAAACATCGTATTTTTTAAGACTGACTTGAACGCCAAATATAGTGATGTTTTCCTGTTTTTGTTTATAAAATTCTGCATACTTTTCTGTCATTTGTTAATGCATGAAATCGTAAATTTACCCATCTATTTGCAAAATAGTTTCCCTAAAGCAAAAAAGACCCTGCACATTTTGCTCTGTAAGTAAGTATCAAAAAGAAATGATCAACCCAAACAGTACCCATGATTTGGAGCAGAGCTTGTTATGTTCTATTGCTGACAACATGCAGGAAGATCAAGAATGACTGGAAGATGTTATTGACCAGGCAGTCTTAAAAAAATGATAATGCTGTAAAGGTAATTGATTTATTATCTTCCTATCCAGAGTTATTTAATTTGATCATGGTCAATTTCTATGGATGGAGACAATGGATTCACTAATGGTGCCTTGAATGCTTTGAAGTTAAAGCTCATGAACCAAAAAAGATGGCAAGAAGGTTGTGCGTGTTTGATGCTTAATTAAATGTCAATTCACAACATATAAAATGGGAAGGCCATAAAGTTTGTGTCTATGTAAACATTTGTACTGAGATTGATGATGACTCGATGCAGATGTGAAGCTTCAAACTGCATAAGCCATAGGGTTTTATGTAACTTAATGTTTAAATCATGTCATATCTTTATTAAAACATTTTAGTTGAGTGTTGTTTGAATGTTACTAATATCTAATGCACTATACTGAAGCATTAAAGATTCAGTGATGAAACCTTTAAAGATACTGTACTGTATATTTCTTCATTATTACAGTTTTCACTTTAAGAAACAATTTGAGCTTATTTACATATTAGAGTACAGAATGGAGATTTATCATAAGCAATAATTGCTGCTTTTTAAAGAAAAGTTTCTTCACTTTTCAAATCGTTTTACAATTTTTGCTTCTTATTTCTTTTCATGAGATTGATGATATATGGTTAATATAATCCAATAACTTTAAAATTTCTAAAAAGCTTTTAAGCTTCTAGCACAAAAGTACACTAAAGGTATTTAATTCATTTGGTTATATTGCCTTGCTATGACATATCTACTTGCACTTCATCATTCTTGTATGAACAAAACACCAGATGTGGATACTCAGAGAACAAAATGCACTACCAACTGCTTATGAAATTTATTATTGAGGTGAAAGCTGTGTTGATCATTCAAATTGTGCACTTATATTGCAAATATAGGGAAAACAAAACAAAGTGAAAAAGAAGGGTAGAAGTATTAAAACTACAAATGAATTATAAACACCACTGGAAGCATAAGTGTTTTGATGATTATTTGCATTTTGCCCAATTCATATATCAATACAACAAAATCAAAATGTGCTACAACTTTACAAGTATTTGATGCAGTTGCACTTCAAAACATCACAAAAAGGTTACATAAAGTAATTCTATACAATATTGTTGTTTTCATTTACCAAACCTATGCAGACTTGAGTCTTTTTGAAATTTAATATGAAACTCAATTACAGAAAATCCGTAAATATCTAGAGATTTAATATTTACTTTTTTAGAGAAACAAGAAAAAATCCTACAATTGTGGCGAAAAAAGCCATTGCCCATTGCATGAAAAGAAGCAAAATAGCAATGATAACAAATAAGCTAACTTCTCTCTTGTGAACCGTGGAGATGAACTATGATATACTTTTTTGTATAGACTAAAGAGTTTAATCGATCAAACAAGTTTGACGCTGGTAAGAAAACGACGCACATCTGTATTCACACATGTAGCCGATATATAGCTCTTTCGTCGATAGTTATAAATGCATCCTCGTAGGAGAAGATAACTGACAACCACAGTTGACTCGCTGTTATAAATTTAAGGCTTTACCTTGATTTTCATCAAGAAATTGCTTGGCGAATCCTAAATACACACATACATTTTCCTCATCTTTCCTCGGAGGGATTGGGAATTGTAAAATTTTCGGAAAAGCGGTTAATTTCGGCAAAGGACGAAATCCGCCATTTTTGGCGTCATCATATATCTGAGGCCGCGCTTGAGATAGCCGCTCCAGTTATAATAGAACTCAATGTTTCCAATAGTTAGTAAAACTTAATCCATTAAACAAAAGGCACGTGAAATTGCGAGTGCGCATTTCTGCATAAAACAAGACTTAACAAAGTTAACAAATACTCGTTTCTAGTGACTTACAAAGATATTTAAAACAGCATTGGTTAACGCCAGTTATACAAAATAATGATTTTCATAATAATGTCATTAAACTTCATTAACCATAATTCATCAACGTAGACATCATTTATGTAAGTTTCAAAACCACTTACCTGCACGTGCTCACAAGGTAACTCATCAATTTCTCCTTCGTCGCTGCACATTCCGTCATTGCTTTCACATGAAGCAAAAAAGAGCTCATCATCACAGTTAAAGAGATTTCCTATAATGTTTTTCAAATAAATTACAAACGATTTTAATAAAACGGAGTATCACAAATTTCTAAACTAGCTTTCGCCACAAGAGAAATACCATTGCAACACAAAATTAAAACATAGCTACAAATTGCGAATGACGCTGTATAAAAGTTGTAATCAGCAAAATCATGTCATTTCGTTTCGTCTATAAGTAAATTTACGCGAAATGATGATCACCAGCATAAGAAGACTTATTTCTTCAAATAACTATTCTCTTCGAATTGATATCTACATTGATTTATCCAAAGATCTTACACATAGCTACGTATGCTTACAAACGTTTCCCATACGAAAACTATTATTAAAGGCATTGAAAACGGTTTTAAAGTCATTTTAATTTTCTTCAGATGCTCGAAGACTTGATTGTCCTTGTGTATCACGTTGCGCTGCGCACGTTTTGGTTTTTTTTTAACTAAAGTCTTAAATATGTTAGCAGAAAATAACGAAAAACATTCAGAGTGTGCCAACTTTCTAGAAACATTCTAAGTTATGGAATTTGCATCAAAATCCAAACATTAGCAATGTTCAAATCTACTACATAATTTGTTTCTTTGGGGTGAACAGCTATATATTGCTTGTTTTATCACCTATCGCTATGCAATGTCTGTGTTCTTTTATACATGTTGTTAAATATCTATCAGTTTGTCAAATGTACGTTGCTGAATATTTGGCACATTTAACTTCGTACACCACTTCTATCGTCTGTTGGATCCTTAAATCATGTCAAGGCAGTACACAAGGTGCTTGTGGGTTTGTGTGCGACTCAGATGTTGTATGTTTAAAGGATGTTGTATGTTTGAAGAATGTTGTATGTTTGAAGGATGTTGTATGTTTGAAGGATGTTGTATGTTTGAAGGATGTTGTGTGTTTGAAGGATGTTGTATGTTTGAAGGATGTTGTATGTTTGAAGGATGTTGTGTGTTTGAAGGATGTTGTATGTTTGAAGGATGTTGTATGTTTGAAGGATGTTGTGTGTTTGAAGGATGTTGTATGTTTGAAGGATGTTGTATGTTTGAAGGATGTAGTGTGTTTGAAGGATGTTGTATGTTTGAAGGATGTTGTGTGTTTGAAGGATGTTGTGTGTTTCTTGCAACTTTCTAGGATTTATGATGGTACTGTTTTTGTTTTCTTCTTTTATTCCCGGTGGTCGTGTGCTAGCAATGACTGGTTGGCGAGTTTTCTTAGCAAACTTTTCACAAATATGCTCTTCTTGTTGTAGTTATTGAAAACTTGTTTCAGGCAAGATATAACCAATGATTGAAGGATTCTTTTGAGCAGCTAAAAAATCTGGCTCTTTCCAACAAAGTTGTTACAGTTTTGGATTTATGCAGAAAGGGTTATACGATGAATTGTCCAGTAGGCGGTTTATTTTTGTTGTTTTCAATAAACACTTGATTTCACTATAAGGAATCAGAACTGTAAGAAAGACATATTAAATATACGAAAGTTTGAATTATTGAATGCTAAAAGAGAAAAGTACATATGCAAATTATGTAGATGAACTGAGTAAAAAACATCAAAGCCATTTACAAAATAAACACAATGAAACGCGTGCGCTGATTGGTCTATAGAGCTGAGTTTGCATTAGCCAAAGACGTAATTATGGTCTGACTCAAACTTTTTATTAATTCTTAACACTCTTTCAAGATAATGAAAGTACTTTCCAATGACTCATAGTGCAGCAATAGTTTCGGATGATGATGGCGTCCATCGAGACAAAAAGATAATTCTGAATTATCTTTTCTACGGGAAAGCTGATTTTAGACTTATTTATGGTCTCTCTATGCATACTATATACAACACTGATAAAGTCTATGTATTCACTAATATTGTCAATCAAGCAAGTTCACCAAACTCGCCAAATATCTTCATATAATCAATGGCTGATGCAATAACATTGTGTCAAATTAGGGAGACATTTTTGGTCCCTTATAGGGTAATGTGAAGATAGATGCTGCAATAACATGGGGGCAAAAATTGAGTGATGTTGAACTTTGAAGTTATTAACTTTTTTATCATAGATGCATTTCATCTATTTTTTAATTTTTCTAATAGGGAAAATCTCGGAACCCACCCTACATAGACATACCCACCCCTAGTTTATAACCCACCCTAGAAATTCAAAATTTTTCGACCCACCCTAGAAGGCATTTTTGAAAATTTCAAGACCCCCTAAATTTAGGGGGGGTAGAAACTGTGATTCACTAGATCATTTAAAGAAACAAATCTCCCACACCGGATTCATAATGAAGTAGAAAAAGATGGTAAACTTCCCTTTCTTGATTGTATTATAGTAAGGAATGGCAAAAACTAAGCAATTGAAAACAACTCACACAGACCGCCTTCTAGACTGCCTTCGTAGTTCAAAATATTCCTCCAATCGAGCTACGTCGCTATATATCTTCTAAAAGAGAGTTTTCAGTAAGAAAAACTTTTTTATAGTTAATAAAATTAAATCGACCGACCAATTAAGCTACAATATGAGCACCATAACATTACCTTACATCAAATCTACATCCCTAAAGACTTGACAGAATTCTTTAACATACAACATTCGAGTTGCATATATAATGGAATGTTTCACAATTCAAGTCTCGACAATATATAGGATACCATAAAACCGAAACAGGAATAGGAGCGCCGAATATCCAGCAACGTACGCACATTTGACAAATTGGTTGGAATTCAACAACACGTAACAAAGAACACAAACAATATACAGCGTTAGATGAAAATAAGCAATATAACCGTTTTACCACAAAGCAAAAAGTCATGTAGTAGATTTGAACAATACAATAATTCCTTCATTTGCTTGGATTATGATGTAAATAACACAAGTACAAAGTTTCTATAGGTTGGCACACAAAATTAAGTTTTAAAGAATATATGCATGCCATGATTTTTACAAACATTTTTAAGACTTTTAATAAAAGAAAAACGGAAAGGCAAGAACAATCACATCTTCGTGAATCTGACAAAAATTAAAATAATTTCATAACGATCTTCAACCATCTGTTTTTGATGATGGTTTTCGTACATAGGAAACCATAACTGTTTAATCGTCCTACATATTTAAAATTGTGGAAGATCTTTAAAGGATTCCCAAATAAGCGTCGGGCAATGGTCATTGACCAGCCATGTTCATGGATTGGACGGACCAAATCTTGATATGGAGAATGCATGTAGGTTTAAGAAATATAATATCTATTCTTAGAGAACTCATAATTGCATTAATTAATAATAAAATATCAACAGCATTAATTATAAGGGCCGCTTGATCGCCAACGTCAAGCCATCTCATGATAACTTTATTTACCCACGCCTGTATCGTCAGCAAAAGCTGGTTTCCACGATAGACGTGTAAAATGTAAAATACAGAAATTTGCAGGTGTAACTGAAACATAGGATGATGTACATACTAAAACTATAAAAGATTGACATACAAGACTTGAAGAGCAGATATTTAAAAACTTAGAACGATATTTACAACCGACGAGTAGCGATTTTTTTCAAAAGAGAAACGCGCTTTACAATCTCAAGTTAGTGGGCAAAGAGTTCCATAGGGCAGCTCCATCAAACATTAAACTTTTTATCACATTATTAGTACGGGATCTAGGCAAACGAATTAAGTTGCGTCTCCCACGAAGATTATAGTTTAAAAGTTCATTTTTGAAAGAAAATAAGCCTCGGAGGCGATTTGGTCCCGTGTTATTTAGCGTTTTGAACTTCATTTTTGTTTTCCTATTAAACCATTGTTCTTTTAAAAGTTCAAAAGTAATTAAGGCAGTTTCTTGACTACATTCATTAGACAAATTTGCTATTAAACGTGCTGCTCTATTTTGAAGTTTTTGTAAACGTTCAGATTGAGTTGTTCACTTCAAAATATCCTTAATTTTCGGACATGGAAACTTTCTACAGGAGCTGAATCTCGTTTCAACAGAAGCCAGAACTTTTTATAAGAAGCAGTAGTTTTTTTAGTAGGAGCCAAACTATATTAGCAGGTGTGTGCCGGAGTTTTCTTATCTGGAGCCGGAACCGAAGGTAAACCCCCCGAAGTTTTCACAGCAATATATGCTTGTCACTAAAGCCTTAAATCGTTTTATTGATCGCAAATACTATGGTGAATGGCAAAGTAATAAGTTAATAGTTCTTAACAGAACTGTTTTAAGCACAGAACACTAATCCCATAGTTCTAGCAGAACTGTTTTGAAACAAAAATACCAGATGTATTTTGGCAGACTACTCCTCAGGAGTCAACGTCTGCTAAATGAAAATTTAAAATCTATCGATATTTATAACGTCAAGAAAGAGTCGTCATCTCCAAAAGGAGAGATGACGCTCAAAACAAGGATAAATTAAAACCATAATCCTTTTATCGGCAGAGGATGGGATTAGTTAACTTAATTAAAACATATTCCATGACGCGTAACTGAAACAATGAAAGGCATTTCTTAATGATTCTAATATTGTCGTCTGAATCAGAATAAGCACAATGAGAGTTACTCAAGACATGTTTCCATATCATGGAGTCACATGAAACTAACTTATTTTTCTTACAATCAGGTTTTGGTTGTTTTAAGGGAACCGTTCTATTTCTTATTGAAGTTGGTACATGCTGTTTGATCTTATCACTTAACCATTGAGATGTTCTACCTACATAGCGAGCATCACACTCACATTTATATTCATAAACCGCATTGCTTCAAAGTCCGCCGGTAGAGATTCTTTGTGGGTAGTAGAATAGCTTTTTTCGAAAATATAATGATAACGTTCCTCGCGAAAAACAAATTCTCCTTAATATTCTTAGTTTCCCACTCAATATCATTAGAAACCTTACAAATCCATGGAAGTTCGATCAAAACAGGGCACTTAGTTGGTCCAAAAAGCCTATCTCGCTCATTTTTTTTGTGGATGAGAAAAGTTTATCGCGCACTTTTTTCCGGATTTCCATTTAAAAGAAATATCTTTTTCATTGAGGTGAGATCACATGCAATGAGCTCCTTTAATGATAGTCTAAACGTTCGCTTTATCAAACACTTTACTAAAGAAATCTTTTCTCCTAGTGAAAAAAAAGAGTCAAAGCGTGTGTACAAACCCGTAAAAGTTTCCTTTCGATGACTGCTAGTAAGGCCCGTTTCAAAAGTCGCATTTTACATGAGTTGAATGCATTTAAAACAAACGAAAATTAGACAAAATTGCTCATTATATTCTGTTTTAAATGCAGTCGGCTCATGTAAAATGCGACGTTTGAAACAGGCCTTAGGAATTGACCGTTTCGTTTATGGACAAAAACATCTAAAAATGCTAACTGACTATTTGATTCTTGTTCAGACGTATCATTTAGCGAAGGGTGAAGAGAACAAAGTTTATGTCACAAAGTTTATTTTTTCTCGTTACGAAAAGGGAAAAGGTGTCGTCAACGTAAAGTTTCAACAACAGCACTTCTGGAGGCCCAGAAGAGGCAAAATCTTACACTCATAATAGCCTACGAAAACATTAGCAAGTACTGGTCCAAGAGGAGAACCTATAGCCACCCCATAACTTTGTTTGTACATAATATCATTAAAACTAAACTCAACTCCCTAGTGGCCGCTAACAGTAGTTCTCTAAAGCACATGTGTGCCTGTACCATGTGCGCGTACCATGGTACAGCCATGTCCGAGTGAAAAAGATTGTCAACACAGATTTCGATGGTTTCTTCTAAGGGCACATTTGTAAAAAGACTGGTTACATCAAAAGAGCCCAATGTCAGATTAGGATGAGTAGAAAGATCTAGTTGTTTAAATTGATTAAAAAAAGTAAATGAGTCTTTTAAAGCGTGTATTGAGAACTTCTCTAAAACAGGTGAAAGTACAACTGACAGTTGTTTAGTTAACTCATAATGAACTGTGTTAATTATGACAAGAATTAGTCGCAGTGGAGCGCCCTCTTTGTGGATTTTAGGCAATCCATACATACGTGGTCTCTCTGCACCGGTTGGGCGAACTAAATTATAAAAGTCTCACTGATTTGATTTGACTTTCTTAATTTTAAAAGAAGTATATGTAATCTGCTTTCTATTGAAGAAATTTTTTCGCAATCCGGCAATTTTCCAAGCGCGCAAAATTTTTTGCCGTCGTTTAAGATGTTTAGCATTTTGATATTATAGTCATCCATATCTAAAATCATTACACCAGAAGCTTTGTCTGGTTTGAAAATTATAATATCCATATTCTTCTTCTTCAAACAAGATAGCGCAATCATGTGTTCTTTCGTTAGAGAAAATTCTGTGAAATCAACAAGGCTTGACACTTCGCTCTTAAAGCCAGGCACTGCTTCGATATCACGTGGTTCTAACTTTTCTAACTGTGACCAAAACATTTCAAACACTGAAAATATGTCCTCTTTTTCAATTTACTGGGAATTCCAAACTTTGGACCTCTGGACAAAACATCTATTTTAACCGCAGAAAGTTGATATGATAAAAGATTTCTTAAAAGAAACTATTGGGTTAGTGTTGTGTACTTAAAACAGTTCTTGTAAGAAGAATTAACTTATTACTTTTGCAATTCACCATGGTATTTGCGATCTTTAAAACGATTTTCAGATTTATCACCACGACAAAGTCTCTATTTCATTATTTAATAAAGCCTATTTCATTATTTCATTATTTAATAAATTTCATTACTTAAACTTTCCAGACATTCGATCAACTTACCGTCGCAATATTCCTCATCATCATAAACAGCATCGTCTGCAACACTAGAGCAATCACGTTCTGAAATCTTTTGTCGTTTGATTTTATTGTTGCTTCTTTCGACTGTAAACTCAGACACAGAATCCGCGGCAAAAACCTGATTCAAATCACTGTACTGTCTCTTTAATGACGTGATGTTTTCCGTCTGAAAGCAGAAAAGCAAAACCAGTAAAATTTTGCACCTACTAAGTAAACGTTTATCGTTTATAAAAAGATGGAAGGAAAGAATTAGGGCAAACTTCAATTTCGTTCGAATAAAATATCGAAAAAGATAAAATTGTCAACTTGGAATTACAATTTACTGACGGCAAACGATATTTAGAAACTGTCCACATAAAACTAGTCTTCTGCTTACAGCATACATACACACATACATACACACACATACCTCTCTTACCACTTTCGAATGTAAGTCGGCGTTGGCTACATTGTTTGTCTGACGTTTTGACAAGGATGTCAGCAAGACATTATCCCTGTAATAAAAGTTGTGTATTAAAACCATTTCGTTAACATTTCAAACAGCTACATTGGAAAATACTGATATTCTAATAACAGTCAAGAGCTTCATAAAATATTTTAGAAGAAAGGAATTGGCATTTCAACACTGATGAGCCAACATTTGTATTGATTGTATTTCCGATTATTTCGCAGTAAAAAATCCAAATCATTCAAATGTTTCTATCAATGTTAAAATATAGGTGAGAGCTAAAGACTGCTGTAAACTTGTCATATTGTATTTATATGTGCAAGTTATACTACGTGGAAAACTATTAATTTTAAAAGAACGTAAATCATGCAAACATGAAGATTTTCCTACAGTCCTGTCAACTATTATACATTATTATACGAGTATTGAAATTTATGGGTAAAAAAACGGTGAAATAAAAGTCATATGCCTAACATATTCCAGCATCTGATTGGACATATGATTTTCTTCATTAGTGAAAAACGTCGTATCTGCAACCTACAAACAATTCATTTGATTCATTGTATATTTTGGTAAAATTAGGATGTTGTTTTGAAGTGTTTAATTGTGTTTATAACTTCCGCGATGACTTTCACTATAATCTAAAAATTCAACACTCGTATAATAAAAAGATTATGTATTTCATGGTTGGTTAATTTGGACGATTTTTACCATGCACTCGTTAAAAAGGATTGAAAAACACTTGTGCACTCGTTAACAAAAATCGTACGCACTCACCAACCATGAAGTAATCTATTTTTAGCACAAGAACAATTTACTTGTCTCGTGATAAAAAGTACTTGTCGATGTCTTAGAAAAGTGTAATTTCTACTTAAGTTTTCTATTAGATACTCACTACTTCACCAACACTACTTCACAAATGAAAACACGAAAATCAACATTAGGTAACTATAGAGAAATTCACTTAGTCAGTTTTGATATCAATTCAACTGAGAGTGGGGTATGTGCACATCCTCAAAACCTCTACAGCTCCTTAAAACTTTCGCCTACCCTTACCCAAAGAAGGGTGTGCACCACATAAAAGTAAAACATACAAAACATAAAACTATAATCTCAGAGAATAAGATTATACTTCATGTGACCCTCTACACTTTCTCTCAAAAATCTAGCGACGTCCACTTATTACCGTTCAAAGTGTTCCTCGCACTTGTTTACCGGTCAAGGTGGACTATATTCAGTGCATTACGCTCTGGCGCTTAAGATTAAGAAAGAAAAAGACATAATATCAAGCAAAATGACATTCCTTTGTTTCTATGACCATAATATAGGTAGAACCCGAGACTATACATAAAAAAATGATGATAAACACACAAAAGAGAGCTCAAAATAATTGCTTGCATCACAACACCCCACCTCCAGCACATCACCCTTTTCTCTCATTTTCAGTTTTCTTTGACGTTTTGTGATAGTAAATCTGTGACGTAATGCGTTAACTCTGAATTTTGGCTCTTGTACTTTAACTTATCTAGTTTTTCAGGTGGATTTTATTATTTTTTCAAGTTATATCAATAACTTTGCATAAACTTCTCTTGTCATATAAACTTACTGCTTCAATAAGGGTTAGGGTTTATTTGTATTCGATCAATGGCATAGTCAGGCCGCAAAGTTGGTCGTGCTATGATCATTAACATCATTCATTTCTTTATATCTCTATTGCATCTATGTGAGTGTACGCAGATATATTTACATAGCATGACCAAACTTGCGGGCTAGCGACGCCCCAGGTTTCAAGTTGCAATACCCATTAACGCATATGATAATTATTGTGCGTGTAATATCTCCATATATGAGCATGCACGGTGTTATTGGCATTGCTAGAAAATGTACGCTAGCACGGAAAATTAGCAATTCACAAAATTAGCTATCGAGAGGAATATTTTGTATCTCACAGGAAATTTTTCGAAAATATAGAGTAGATTCAAAATACAGTCGTATCGAAACGTACATAATATTGTAATTTTTTTCTGTATGCAATGCGTCACGGTTTGTTTTTAATAGTTAATAATGGGAAATTTTAAAAGGAAATATTGAATTTGACGCCAGGAAATGATATACTCCATCAAGGGCTGGTAATATGGCAGAAAAACCAACATAGTTTATTTTGCTCTAGGATTTTGCTCCTTCTTAGGTAAAATCATGCAATATCTCTTCTTAATATTAAACACAACTACGAGGGTGCTCAACTCAAGGAGCCCAAAGCTAACTGTATAGCATTGCTAGAGCATGCGCTATGATAGAATCTATTAGTAATGTATCCGTTACATTAATGGTTTTCAAATAGTTTATACTTACTTATCATCAGTCCTCAGCTTTGTCACTTTTTCATGAGGTAGAACGTTCCGTTTCGACTGTGTTAAATGTTTCGCTCCTTTTTTTTGTAAATTTTCGGGTTCTACGATACAGCCGTTTGATGTAAATATTTTGTCTGACTTAGCTTTGATGAAAAAATTTGATATTGAATTCTTGCAAGTCGTGCTTGAGCCACTCTGTTGCCAATCACCTTGCAGTGGCACACTACAAGTTGAGAAAATTGCTTTTCACACTTATTTGGTTTAGCGTCGTAGGTATGCGTAAATGAATGAACAGTTGGTCGCCTAACTGTCCAGTGTTGAATAACATATTGAGAAGAACGAAACACTTCAGTACTAACAAAAAAATGCTTATTACAATAAAAATTCTGTTCCACTTAGTGTTCGAAAAAATCTTGCAGATGTAAAAAAACAACTTTTCACAAGTTAACTGGTAGATTGATCATTATTGTGCAATGAGGACAAATTGCCGTACGTGTACGTAAGCAAAGCAATTAAAGTTTTGACAGAAGATGCAGCAAATTTCACAAGCACTGAGTTGGCAATTCATACTCCTACAATACCCCTAGAGTATTAGAAATGGAGCAATGGGTTTAAGCCATTAATAATCCTTAGGTACCCCTAAGGCATTGGACATAGAGCAATGTGTTTAAGCAATTCATACTCCCACAGTACCCATAGGACATGGGACATAGAACAAAGTCTTTAAGCAAACTGTACCTATCTTCTTCAAATAAGACAGCTTGTCTCTCCTTGTACTCGTTAAATATGCAGGGAAAACAATTTTTGCTAAAAACATAATCTCAGCCTTCTTAAGTTATGTAAGTATAAAATGAATCAATGAAACATAATCTAAATAAAATAACCATCTTTAACTCGATACTGGAGATAAAACAGAAGAAACAATAATTTAATGGTTTTTCACATTTACATCAAATCCACAATAAGACTACTAAGTGACCAGCTATGTGCATAGTAATGGCTCAATTAATATTGCAAGTGTTAATGACATCTTAAGGTAGTAATACTATAAGTTTACTTACTAGTGGGGTTAATAATAAAGCAGATATTATGAAAAGATGTAAGTTTCATGGTGAATATCTGAGCAGGTACATTTCAAGAGTAAATAAGCAAGCTAGCCATCACATTGTTATTCCATTGTGTCTATATATTACTTTGTAACACTTACTGTCCAGCATGTTTGTCTCCAAATCTTTGTTTTGATGAACTATTCTGCAATCAAAGTCAATTTAAATGGTTGTCAAATTTCTTATTTCAGTAGAAATAAGGATCTTTTAAAACAAAACCAAAAAAATATGAACTAATTTAGCAAACTTGAGAATGTGAAATCAGGCAACATTTACATTATTGTTCAAACAAATTTTATAGTTTTGTAAATTTTCATAGCGCAAACCATTGACAGGGAGATAATAGAGATAATCAAAAAAGTCAAGTGTAAGAATTCCCTACAATTTAAAATCAGACTTCCCAAACTGGATTACCATAAAAGCCCAATGGAATGGCTTCCAGGTTTTAATATTGTAGTGAGAGGAGGGCGCATAGCCAATCAGCAAATGTGTTTATGCTGTGTAAATTTTTCTTCACATTTCTATTGTTTTACAGTTAGTAAACACCAAAATATTATCATAGCATGAAGAAACTTGATGTCTAGCTATGCCACTAGAGAGGACAATGCTCGTGAAAATCAAGGTATTTCAATCTTCCCTGATGGGGCAAACCTTTCCCGGAATGGTAAAGAAATTATCTAAATTCAAACAAGCTGTTTGAATTTTTGGTGGGGTTTGAGAGCAAACAACATTTGTTTAGCACAGTGCACTTCTTAATGATAATTGGGTGATCCAAAAAAAATCCAGCAACAATTCATGAAGTGCATCTGAGTGAGAGCACTATGTCAATGCTAAAACGAACACCACGTGGAACAATAGTTTTGCAAAATGCAAATAAGACAAGCAATCATCTCATCTCAATTACACCAGGGCAAAAATCATCAAGTCAACAGATTTCTCACCTGACTAGAACTTGTAAATTCGACTGTAGTGTTGGCTTTTGTGTCGTAGAAGTGAAATTGTCTAAAAAAGCTAAGAAATATGTAGGACTGAGGGAAATTTTAGCGGATAAAAATATATAGTATGTTCAGTAGTATCCACGCGTCTTTTATGAAAGATATAAGTTAAGCAGCAAAGTTTGTATTATTTAGCTTACCTTTTCTTGCCAGGTCGAGGCTTGTTAAGAGAAAGCGATGCCTTCATTATAGACAGAGTGAAAATTCTCCATCACTCACTATAATAATGTGTATTTGTTTATGATGGGAAATGAGGCAGGGGTGAAGAGAACAGGGTTGCCAGGTTCCTGCGCATGCTCGAGGCCAAACACGGTAGAAAATGAGGCCAAATTTCAACAAAAGAGGCCAAATTTCTTGAACAACCAGCAACGCAGGATTTGTGCCCTCCCCCCTGTAAGCTTGACAAAAATCGTCAAACAAGAGTTTGGACAATCAGGAATCATGAATGAGGCTCGCAATAGGAAGTAAATTAAATAATAATGACATGCAAGTATAAAGTTATGACTGACAATAACTATATACACTGATACTGTTGACATCTGTTGAATGAAACAGGTAAACAAGGCTAGATGAAAACAACCAATACTGGAGTCAATATAAACTCTGAATGTCACTCGAGCATTCGCCTGGTTGTCTTGAAGTCCACGCAGCAATTTTCTCCAAACTGAAGCTTTGAGCGAATGCGAATTATGGCTTTCATCAACTCTTGTTTCATTCTGTTGCGCTGTTTAGTCTTGATTGATGCTAACAGAGAAAATGTCCTTCCACCACAGCATTGCTTACCGAAGCAGTGAGACAGTTCAAAGCATACGTTGCTAATTGCTTAAATGGCTTGTCTCCGAGAGAAGTTTGAAAGTCGACGATGCATGACCAAAATGCAGCCGCTGTATCTGGAATAGTTCCATCAAAGGTTGAATCTTCTTTCCAGTCACGGTGAACGATCTTCCGGTACTGCTCTTCGATCTCGTTGAATTTCTCATATCGTAGATCTGGAAGTGGCAGCTGACTTAAAGGAGCTCTGGTTGCTTCATCTAATACTTTTCTTGGATGAAGGACGCTTAATCCTTTGAATATGTTTTTGTGGCAGGTAGACGCATTTCAACTTGATTTAAAGCTTCGATAAGAAAATCTAAGCATCGTTTTTTCAAATCAAGAACTTTAGCTTGAGCAACAACCTTGTTCTTTTGAGAAGAGACATATTTTGTTGCTTCACACAAGAACTTCCACCAAAATCTACTTTTCAATGGCGAGTTGCTTGCCTTGTATGTCAAACGAAAACTCTTCCACGCAGAGACTTATGATGTATCCAATTCAGCGAACTATCTCTTCAGTAGTATAGTACATGGGGGTTCTAGCGCACTAAAAGTGCGCTATATCCCCATGTACTATACTATATAACCTGGGTAAAACTATCTTTATAACAGCTTAAAATAAGACCATGGTTCAAAGACGTCCCTCTGGTAAAAAGGTCATGTAAAAAAGCTGTGTAAAAAATTGTTTGTTTCAATATAGTAGTAAAAACTTTCTTTATAACAGCATAAAATAAGACCATGATTCAAAAGGCGTCCCTCAGTAAAGGTCATGTGAAAGCTGTGTGAAAAAGTCATTATTTCAAAGGGTAAAAATATGGAATCTATATGTTTTAAAACTATCTTTAGAAATCAAGTGTTAAGAAAGCATCGGTTCGGAGGCGATCCGGCAGCGCAAATTTTAGCGTAGCTAAAATTGAGCAGGGGGATGGGATCGCCGAGAATTCATGCGAGCCTGTGGGTAAAAATTCTAGCTTTAGCTAGAATTTTCGGCTCGCCGTTTGTCCGAAGGACGACAGAGGCTTAAGAAATGCTCTTTAAAACTATCTTTAGAAATCAAGTGTTAATAAAACATCTTTTCAAAATATGGAATCTATATGTTTTAAAACCGTCTTTACAAACAAATGTTAAGAAAGCATCGTTTCGGAGGGCATCCGGCAGCGCAGATTTTAGCGTAGCTAAAATTGAGCAGGGAATGGATGCCGAATTCTCGAAACCAGGTGGGGAAATTTTTCACGAAGTGAAAATCGGGTTTCATTCGAAGAATATTCGAAGAATATTCGAGAATAACAGAAGGAAATGCTCTTTAAAAACCGTCTTTAATAATCAAGTGTTAATAATCAAGTGTTATTAAAATATCAGTAGCAGCGCGCGTGTCTTAGTGCATGTTTTTCAACAATGGTTGTTTAATGTAATAGCACATTTCATCAGCGCATGTATAATAATACAATGTTTTACAAAATATGGAATCTATATGTTTTTGAAATATATAGGTGCGTTTAAATTTTACAAACAGTCTTTACAAACAAATGTTAAGAAAGCATTGGTTTTGAGGGGGCTCGGCAGCGCAGATCACGAAGTGATCGAGCAGGGGATGGAGCCCCCGATAATTCTTAGCGACGTTGGGAAAATTTTTCACGAAGTGAAAAATTGGGGTCGCCTCCCATGGATTCGAAGAATATTCGAAGAATATTCGAGAATAACAGAGGTTTAAGAAATGCTCTTCAAAAAACCGTCTTTAATAATCAAGTGTTAATAATCAAGTGTTATTAAAATATCAGTAGCAGCGCGCGTGTCTTAGTGCATGTTTTCAACAATGGTTGTTTAATGTAACCAGCACATTTCATCAGCGCATGTATAATAATACAATGTTGTACAAAATATGTAATCTATATGTTTTTTTAATTTGTCTGTCAAGCGAGTGTCATATAATTTTTGTTAAAAGTGTTTTTAATAATTGTTTCAGGATTTTGAATTCTTTTGTATATCGCTTTTGTATTAATTACTTATTACAAACAGTTATGTGATATGTAGTCAAACATGAGGAGCAGGTATGTATGATTTTACTCTAACAGAGGCCCACGCTACATGCTTACTACACATTATAACTGTATATTAAAATAAGTTTTAATTATCATTTAAATAATGACCATAAGCTCTAGTAGTTATACCATCATCTAATATATACCGTTTATCATCAAAACAGCTAAGTGATACTTTATTAATTTCATAACTACTAAGTTGATGGTTTACACTTCTAATAGTTTTCATTGTATGATGTATTTGTTTATTTTCAAATAGTGTTTGTTTATAGTCTTCATGTTTTATTTTGTTTTTAATAATATTTTTCTTAATTCCTTTAGCTTTCTTATCTCCTTTATTATTGTCTTTAATATAACTATACATCTTACTTCTTAAACCAACAAATTCTTTAACTACTATTCCAGCAGCTTCATCTTTCATTTTACCAATAACTTTTTTATTAGTTTTATCATTATATTTATGGTATTCGGGTAATCACTAAAATCAAATTTATCTTTATCAACCCAAAATCTTTATAGACATCTTCAGTTTCGATTTCATATGTTAGACTATCTGTATCTGTGAATAGAAGTTTAGCTTTATCACCATATTTATTCTTGATATAATTGTAATGAAAATCATACATTAATACTTTAGATAAATCTAAGATGCACATACCCACATATGCCGGCCTATTAAGGGTTAGTGTTTCTTTGATCTTATGCACAGCTACAAGGTTCTCGTTGAAAATTTTACTACTTACATAAGTAGGTTTTGAAGCTAATTTTAATAATTTATTTTTATTAGTTACTAGTCTAACATCTACTCTTTTTCGTAAGTTTTCCATGGTTTTACCGAATACCGAATTATTCATTAATTTGAAGAAGTCTTTTTCAAAAGAATTTTTTGCATTAGTTCGTTTTTGAGTATTAAAGTCTATGTATTTTTTCAACCATGGAGATTGATTAAATTCAAGTACTCGGTGGACTTTAGTTAACTTTAACCCGAGATCTAAGTATAATTGAAGATTTCTATAATGAAGTACATACTTGTATTTATTTTGTAATGTAGGTATTAATTTTGAAACTAAGCCTGTTGATATATTGTAATTAGAAGCAATTGTCTTACAATATTTTGACAACATATCACTAGTTACTTTAATTTTTTCTGGTGCGACAGGATAATTATTATGTAAATGATGTATTTCTTCAGGGTATTCTAAATCAACTTCTAAAATTAAACCTTTTTTACTATCTTCTTTATATTTAGCAAATTTATGTTGTTAATCTGTTTCTCAGTTAACCATTTGAAATTACCAGTAGGTAAATATTGACTCATAGCCCATCCATATAAATTGTTAGCATCTAAATACATTATATATTTTGAGGGTTTATTCTTATCAAATGTTTTCATATACTTGTTATTAGCCTTACCATATCGATTAGAAATATAAGAAACACCCCCTCTCATACCTCTTTCAATGAATTGAAACATGTCAATATCAGTCATTAGTTCTAATTTAATATCTGTCATTTTAAGCATAGCATCCCAAGACAACCCAGGAGATGTAAAATAGTGACATGGGTCTAAATTATAGTATTCTAAGCATGTTTTCGTAAAGTTTTCAAATACATCAGCTAATAATAAAACATCTGATTTCAGATACAGGTTGTGATAATCACCCATGTTTTTGAGATTGAATGTATTCCAAACTTTTTGTGCATGCTTATAAGAATCATCTGATATATTCTCATCAGTAAGAATACTATAAAAATCTTTTTTTGAAGGCAACTTCTCATCAAACTTTTCAAAGCTATCCATATAATCATATGGGTATATACCTTTTAGTCATTAAATTAAGTTTTCACCTTTAAACTGATTAGAGGTATATTTAAATGATTCTTTAGGTAAATTACTAACAAGCTTTTCAAGACTAGAGCTCATAAATTGAAAACTATCAAGAAATGTTAAATGGTTACCTAACATGAAAGCCATATACTTTTCCATATTATTAGGTATAGCATTTATATTCATATGCGTTTCCTCACCTTTTTGTTTTGTATGTATGCTTATTAACAATAGCTCCGATTTCTTGCATTATAAAGTGACTGTCATACCCACGCAGGTTGTGAAATATTACTGGGATTTTTAATTTATCAGGGTCTATTCTAAGTTTTAAATTACAATCTTGATGTGCTGAGCCTCTATATTTTCCAGTGATATGACAATGGTCTCGAACTCTAATATCTTTGTTAGTATATTTTTTGTTACAGATATGACATTCATCAGCTTTTTAAATTCTTCTTCATCATCAGTGGTCATTTTAATGGTTTATTAAAGTGGGTTTTCATAATATTTTACAATATTTAACTTCTTTTAACATAGCTTCCATAAATTTGTAAACAGCTTTTCACCTCTATATAGTTGAATTTTTTTCGTA